AAATAGCAGCTTGGTTTACACTTAACTGTGCTCCTTACTGCCTGTATTTCCACGTGTCCTGCTCTAGCAGGAGACAGAGACTGTAGTATTACTGCCCCTGCAGGACTCACCTTCTGACTGTGGGCTCTTCCTCGGGGTCACAGCTACCTAAATACACCTTCATGTTGCCTTTCAAAGACATAGGGCGCTATTTTTGTGACAGCAAAGCACTTCAGGTTTTTTAGGGAATCTTCAGTTTTGCACATTAACATGTTCCTGCCTGCCCTATCCTAGCACATTTGGAACAACTCAGTGAGGTTTATGATTTTTGTTAAGTTACCAGCATCCTGCAGAGACCGCATAAGACACTGTGACAACCCAGCTGACAGAACAAATAACTCTCTCTCTCTGCTTTTTACCAGCTTTAAGGCAGCTTCAGAATCATTACATGACAACCTGAGTTGGAAGTTATTTCAGTACAGGAACACTGTTAAAAGCAAACCGCAATACAACAGCTCACCAGCTTATTGCTTGTCATTTACACTACACACACTCAGGCCACTCCAACTAGGAAATATAACTAACATATTTCCATGCAGAATAAGGCAGTGCATATTCACTAATTCACAAAGTTGCAGTGACTCAAGGGCTTTTGACTGTCTGCCCATACCCATATCTTCAGTGTGCAACTAAGAAGAGGGAAGAAACAATTCTTATCATGGGCTTTCAGGCAGCTTGCTTAAGTGGTCAAAGAGCCCTCAGCACAAATACTTTTATAAGTAATCAAGCATATTTTTGCATGTAGTGTTTCCCTCTGTCTCATAAATACCAACTAACCACTGTTTCCTCAGGGACAAACCAAAAAATGTTCCCGTTGCTAAAAATTTATTCAAAATGACTCATCAGCACGTTAAAGTTACTTACCCAGCTTCAAACAATGTCAGCATCTTTTCAGGCCCTTGCTTCCAGATCACGTTAACTCTTTCTGCAGCATCAGCACAGCAGGTAAAACGGCACGACCTTTGGCAGGTTTGCTCTTTTACTTTCAGGGCCACCACCGCCTTGCTCTGGATCAGTGCATCCACTTAGCAGCGCCCCTTCCTGGATTTGGTGACACCTGCTTTCTCTAAGCGTCATTGCAAAACTGGTCCCGGAGCTATTAAAGACCAGTGCATTCCTCCCTCAAGGATTTTGGTTCTGGAAGGTGAGTTACTTTGCTCCAGGCTTCGCAAACTGGAGGATAGTGAGAAAAAGTAACGTTACAAGATTCAGATATAAGGCTTACCAAGTTAGTTTGGCAGATACTTCTAGACATAAGTGAACAAATTGGTCCTTAAAACTTTTACCTCCATTTTATCACTCCGTTTTATCAGTTTTTAGGCCTCAATGCAGGACACCTTACACAAGATTAATCCCTGCTCAAGCTGGAAATTGCTGATAGCATTTATTACTGAAAAGGTATTAGGACTCCTCTAAAAGATGAATGACAATGTCAGTGTCTTACCACAGTTCAGAGGTATGAACTCTGTTGGACTTGTGGGAAAGCAAGTGTCAGAGATCATTTTAAAGGCAAAGTGTTTACATTATATTGGGAAAAATTCACACTCTAAAACTTTGAGAGCTCTGTCAGCTGACAGGCTCATGTCTTGGGACAAAGGAGAGCAATTTAACAATAAAACTAAATGGAATCTGAGAGATCTGAGTTTAATACCTTGTGCTACCACAGTCTTCCCACATACTCTTGGATTGGTCACTTTACATAAGATGCATCATCCCTCAGCTAATTATTTAAAAGCCCAAATTAGTTAGTCAAAGCCAAAAGCTAGTCATCCGGAATTATTTTTATAGTCCATGGAAAAGATTGGTTATATCCAGAGAGCGATTCGTCCTACAGGAAGAATCTGGGGGCGATCAGATGAATTGGCCTCTGGAGGTCTCAGCGGTGAGTAATTCAGATTTCTGTACCTAGAAGTTTAACACGCAAGTTAAGCAAGATGAATCCAGCCCATCATCTCTGGAAGCCATCATTTCCCTTTGCAAACAGATGCCACATCTATTCAATACCTCCTGGCAGCAAAGACCAGGAGATACACTGTGCCACTGTAAGGTGTTGGAATGCTGATCAGGTCCAGACTCAAACAACACAGGGTATCGTTTGTTAGCTCCTTGTTAGCCCTGGCTATCCCATCATGTACTGGTACGCAGCGGGACTGGACACGGAGAGGCACAGTGGGAGGAATGGTGTCCATGGTTTGCAACACTGACCCTCTATTTCAGTACACGTCCACAGAACTCCCATTAAGTGACCACGCTCAGGTTGTATTCAAAAGTTCTGTCAGCTACAGCAATGCCACCCTGAGGCTTTTATCGAATGAAGCACCAGGTCAGTAACTCAACACAGCTCAGAATACGAGGTTAACAGATGATGGCGAGTTCCAGCACACCCCAGCTGCCTGGCTCACGGACGTTTTCGCACCATTGTACAAACACCTGAACCAGCCCACAAGGAGCACCTCAATATGCAAACTAACCATCAAGGCACAGAAGTACTTCCCCCCCCCGAGTTATTTAAGGCTAGAGCAGAGCACAGTGTTAATGTTTAACCATTCTGCTGGTGGCAATTCCCATAGCTGAACTTGGATGTGACCATAAAAAGGAGTGAATGATGTATTTAGCCACCACTGAACGGCCCAGTGTAGCACCGTGGGTGCTGTTTGATTTACAACACTTCTAACCTACCACATAACTATGATTCAAGTAACTTTCAGACTGAGGTTAGCTCGTTGCTACCCAAATGCAGTACCAAAATGCATCTCTGTTTGAGGCAGTCTTCTTGCTTGTACCTAGAACACAGCAGCACGTCCTCTTTTCCCCACATCTCTTCCCACTTCTTGTCACAAGTCGCTGTGTTTAGGGTTGTGGAGGAAAAGCCTCAACAGCAGACTGCCATCACATACTGTACCATGAACAGTACTCAGCCAGAAGGGTCCCAAAATCAGGCATTAGATGCCTCACTTAGGTGAGGCAGAACCAGGTGCAAAAGCCCAGGTCTGCTGCTACTTTGTTCTTGTTTCTATGGTTCAGTTTTGCCCTGTGAAAAACAAGCATTAAGGTTTCTGTATTTACCTAAAAACTGTGCCAGTGACTTGAAGACAACTGGGAAACGAAGATCAGCTATTAAAAATGGGCAGGTTGTTGCTTAATTTACTCTTTGCTTTTAAGACGGAACATCTGAAGCAACGCCAAGGAGAGTTCATTAGGCTATGAGGGCATCTTACTGAGGTATATAAATACAGATTTCCCCCATGATTTAAATAAAATGGGCAGTTGTTAAAATAAAGGTTAGAGTGGCTTTAAATGGCCTGCGGCAGTTTGTGCAGCACACTCAGTTCCTGTGAGCAATGATTACATGATGCTCTCTTGGTAGAAATAAACACCTATCCCACAACTTTTAAGAAACAATTAAGGCTCTTGTGAAACTCTAGTGAGGATCTCACTGTGACGGAAACAGGCTGCACTTCTATTTTTTAATTAAAAAAGGTAATGGCAGAGATGTATCAGACTGAAAGCCCTTTCAGTTTCAGGCCTTTGCTGGCCAAACTGTTGGAAAAGGGCTATTGTCAGCATACTATTTTCCCTTGGACTTCTACCTACGCGTGTGCTCCTGGGTGCAGCTCTGCAGTACTCATCTGGAGCAGTTTTCACTCCCCAGTGCAAGGGGACATAGAAGCAAACACCACCTGGACACACAGCCTAGCTTGAATGTACCCTCAGCCAGTCCCAGCATACACCCAAAAAATTAACTCCAGCCCTTCTCTGCCCTTCAGTATATTGTGTGGAAATTAAAAGTTACTTATTAAAACCAAAGGCTGTATACTTGCAGTAGCTTAAAAGTTATTTTTCAACCAAAGTGGAAGGAACTCATCGGATAGGTGGCAGCTGAACCATGGAACAGGCTGTACTTTGTTCTCGCAAGGCAGAGTGCTTTTCAATCCACCATGTAGCTCTTCCACACCAGAACCCGGCAGTGACTGATGCTCATTCCCCAAAGATCACAGGCTTCAAAAGCAAAGAGAATGGGCCTCTGTCAAGCAGTCATGCATGTCAAGGTAGCTCACGAAGGCAACCAGTTTAGCAGTTATGGAAGGAAGGAGATGGTGATGATTCAAACAGCAAGACTCTTAAAAACTCAGCAGCAACACTCAGAGATGCACTGAACTCATGCGACTAGATGCACATTTCTTGTTTTGTTAAACTTAATGCTAGGGACAAAGTCGCATGGCTACTTGCAAGAGGATTCACAGAAATCTAAAGTGCTTCACACTGTAATCATCTTTCATCACTTGATTGTAAGTTTTGACACTGAGAACTTTATTATAAATAGAACAGTGTGGGATTATCTTGATTATTCTTTGAATTTAGAGGCTCTTTCACATAAGCAATACAAGGAAGTTGTCATTTCTTCCGCTTCTCATTTTTAGCTTCACAACTAAAAGGATTTGTACAAGGACTTCAGAATGTCCTTGCCTACCTCCCAGTCCACAGCCTTTGGCTGTCTGCTTGTTTGACAGACTTAATGTACAAGAGGCACAAAAATCAACAAAGTAGGACAGGTATTCAAAAGAGCATTATCACCCCATACTCTGTTCCTGTGGCATATAAACTATTTCAAGCGCTTGCTTAAAAATGGTGTGTTGGTGTTCTGCTTATTCAATGCTTGCAGCTAGCAACTTTGTAAATTTAAATACTCAGTTTCCTCCAGCCCACCCCTAAGTAGGGGAGCTACTGTACAGAAAGACTGACACACCCAGCCCAAACCTCAGAACAATTTGCTCTGCTTAGTTGCAGTTGGTCTGAACAGCAACACACAAAGCTCCAGCTGAGGCTTCTGTCATGAAGCTCCACTAGTGCTGGAAAGTGCTGAACTTTAAGGCTCGTCTCTTTAAATATATTATATTCAATAAGACTTAACTCAGAGCAAAATACATTTAAAAAAAAAAAAGACCACAAGAGAAACCATGTTAGAAAGAACCATCTTACAAAGGAAGATGGACAATCTATTAGCCCTTGGCAAGCTAGACAATCATGTACATAAAACAACAAGCTGTACAAAACTGAATGGAGATGGCAGAGATTTGTAAGGCTTTCTGCACTTTTATTCTTCTCTTGGTCCAACATTTCTTCGGATCTCATTCAGAGATAGCTTCAAGGTCACATCAGAACAGCAACAAACTCATCTCTGGTATGTGCAAAATTCAAACAAATTTATAAAGAGAGAAAATTGTAAAGATAAAAACCAAACTGAAGGCCAGGATCATGGGTTAAAATATTTCTTCTGAGTCCAAGAGACTACAGTTGGGGCATATTTGAAAACATATTCCAAGCTTTTAAAACAAGCTAGTCTTTTTTGACTGATAAAAAGATTTATTTGTTGTGGAAAATGAAGAGAGGATGCTTCTAGTGAACATTTTCTTTTTCCTTTCCAATATACTCTCATTTGCTGACAGACTTGTCCACACAGTGACTTTTTGTATCTCCTCCACTTCTCATGGGTACTTTTTTACTTTTTTTTTTTTTTACAGCAAGAACCGTCCTGAACAAGGACTCTCATACTACCCTTGACAGAAATTTGACAGAGAAGTGGAATCTGCTCAACAAGAAGTTTGAGCTCAGAGATAGGGCAGAGGTATTTTAAAAGTCTCTATATAAATATTACATTTAATGTGTTAGGATTCTACCTCCAGGATACATTACAAATAAACCCTGGTGTCCAAACCACAATCTTAAGTCACGTATATAAAATCAGTGACAGCTAGACTCCACTGAAAGGATGCAAGATGCCTCTTCTTCATGACTTTGAAAAACCATTGAGCTACCCCTTCCAAGCAAGTTTTCCTGGTTAAGGAATACCCTTAAGGAAGATCAACTGCTTTGTCTACAACCCAAAATGCACTGAAATGACAGATGGCCATTTGTAAAAATTTTCAGATGGAAAAAACAAAGAAAAGGAAGACATTTCTTAAATGCTGAATGCCACAGAACTTGGCTCTACAGCTCTGGACTGAAACGTTTTATAGATACAGGATCTTTTGCTGTGGAATTTCTACCTAGACAGCACAATGCTGACTCCAGACAAGCAACGTGTGTTGCTTTCAGCACGTGACAGAATCCAGTCCGATCCCTATCCATGACTGTGGTTGGTTGCCTTGGGTGGTAGAATGGAAGATGACAACAGATTCGGGGAAGCTCTTGGAAAGCAATCTGTTTCCAAACCAGTGTTCATAGCTGATCTTGGGTCTGTTTTGGAGATGGAGCTGTTGTCACAACCACAGTGGAAACTGCTTTAGTTGAGCCAGACACCGTTCCCTGCTGGAGATGGGAGGCTGGTACTGTTTGAATTCGGACCTGTTTGAAATGGAAAGAGAAAAGTTCAACTCATGTCAAGAACAAGCTGGTGACACGTTGCACCTGCATCACACTGGCAACTTATCTGCTTCTGCCACCAAAAATTCAGTTATGTGAACACGACCAAGCACCAAAACACATCAGGAGCAGAATATGGCACAAGAATATCCTTCCATCCACTGTTCACTTGGAAGGGTGGCAAGAGGTCTCAAGATTAGAGACAAAGAACTAAAATCTGATGTGAATAAAAACCTATGTATCAGCTGCTATTACAAATTTTCAGAAGGACTTGGATCCATTGGATATTTCACTTCTGAAGACTTGTTACTAGCAGCTCTTAAAGTAGATTACTTTTTTGGAATTAAAGAACACTAGGTTTCCAGACTGAAAGACGGTTATACAAAGAAGCAATGTGATTTCTTCAAGAAATGGTGACCTGCAGAAGCCGAAGTAGAAAGCGCTACAAAACAAACAAAAAAACCCACCAAGCATTTAGAAAAAATCCTTCAATCAACTGGAAACGTTTCCTAACAGGACTTTTAGTTTTACATTCATTATACTATCAGAACTTCAAAAACATTTAAAAACCATATTTGGATGCAGGAAAAGTAAAGGAAACAATGCAGTGCACGTACTTAACGCAGATGCTACAGCCAAGCCGTGAATCTGTACTTTTTATGGAAACCCATGCAAAAAATGTAAAGTCCTTGTGAATACGTCAAGTCATCAAAAAAGCAAACAATAGCATCATTCTCCTTGCCTTTACCTGTGTGGCTTGGCCTTGCTGCTGCAGCTGCTGCAGTTGCTGTGCAGTCAGAAAACTCACTGGTTTGTTCCCAGCGATCAGTTTTGTCCCTGCTGGCATTGTAGTCAGGATGATATTTCTACCTAAGCCACTGATGCTAAGGAAAGAGAATTGTTGAAAGGTCAATAAACAGCAGAGCAGGCTAGATTTTCCACAAATTGTTCTTCAGTTGCTAGGAGACTGCAATTACTTAGCTAATTTACAAATTATTTTAATTTCTTTTTCCTCTCACAACACTGACAAATAACACAAGTGAAAAGTTTTTGCCAACATTTCTCACGATGAGAATTACCTATCATAAACCAAACCCTCTAACTCTGAACCGTGTCTGTTAGTCTGATCAGGCCCAAACACTTCCCAAGGAATGCAGAAAATAGCTAAGCAGAGTGTTCTGCCGTGTAATATTAACTGAGGGAGACACTACTAGAATTTATGAAAGAATAAACAGAAAGACTGCAATACCTGAATGCCAAAGGAACTTGCATTGAGGCAGTTAACATTGCACTAGTTTCTTTAACGGAGATGGTCTCAGATTGCAAACATCTTTTAGGTACGTCACCAGCGTAATTCTTTCTCAAACAAAGAACTAATCTAATAGCTGGTTTCAAGGCAAAGAACATTATTTTTTTCCACTCTATTTGCTAGAACCTGCATCTCAGGCACCTGCACAAAGACTTCATTCTCATTGCCAGGCACTGCATTCTTTCATTTTCTTACTGTTAATGGGTCCTATCAACAGACTTAAGTCACTACCATCACCTGCTTGCTAAAGGAACCTAACTGAGCAGAGAACTGCCTCAGCCTATTTCTAACGCAAAACCACCGGATGCAGAGTACTCACTTGGCCCCAAGGTTGCCCTTGATGATGGGGGCAGTCACCACACTCTTGCCTTTCACTGGCTGGCTGATCACTGACAGAGGCACCGTTATTCGTGCTGGTAGCTTACCCTAGAGAAGTTGAAGAACATGTGAGGAGCCACAGGGAGAGAAACTGCTTGACAACATGCAATTACCACTCAGCTTGCTGCTCAGGAGCCCCGGGAGTAGAAACCAACAGCAGTGTTGCTGATGAAATCTGTGTGCTGTTTCAGGCTAATTAAAATTCACCTCCATTTCATTCACTTCCCAGTTGCCTCAAACCTGCAAACCCACATCATCCTTGCACTACAATATTTCTCTGGGAAGTATCACTGCATCTGCACAGAGTTTTAATCCTTATGCAACCATGGCACTGTCAATTAGCTTATTCAACTTTCACAATACAGCTTACAGTACATTCAACTTTGGGCATTAAAATTGTATTAACATACAAACCAGTAAAAAAGTTAATACAAGTAACAAGCACTTGTGACCCCATTCCAAAAGAAATTATTTCAGAGGCACGGGGCAAGATGCTGTACTGCACTAAGTAGAACTTAAGATGAGCCAAGTTGATCTCACTCACTCTCTCGATGGGAGTTAATGGAAGACAGACAGCAAACTGTTGTCTGGTTATTCAGTATTCAGCTACAGTTCCAATACCATGAAATTAGTTGCAGGCTTGCATTCTACAGTATTTAATTCGAGCTTTTGTGGATATAAAGAGAAGTTTTCAGAAAGAAACTATCAGTCATAAACCATCATTCCTTTTCTCACCCACCTCCACAAAAAGTTCAGCATTACTTACTGCCTGCGACGTAGATACTACCGTGGTGCTGACAGGCACCTGCCGCACAGCGGTGGCTCCTGTGCCTAGAGTTATTGGAGTCCCTGCAGCTCCCGAGGCCACAGCAACTGCTTTTGAAACTGTGGCGCTCATGGTTGGTAACGAGACAGCTGAGGTATGGACTGTGCCAGCCACACTCACTGTTGAGGATGCGGGTACTTGCTTTGCGTGAGTAGCTACCGTAATAGTCTGTCCTGCTTTGGGTGGCATCACCCCCAGCCCCTGCACTATTCTTATAGTAGCAGCCGGCTTGGCCTCCGTGGATGCCACCGTAGTAATGGCTTTGCTCTTCTGATCTGCCACAGTCATGCCCAGAGCAGGCATCAGTCTGAAAGCGGAGCTTGTTGGCTCTGCAGTCTTTAAGTCAGGAGTCACTTTAACCACTGTGCTGCCAGCTGGGCTGGAAGAAGACGAAGTGGCGGTGCTAGTCTTGGCCGGAGTATCAGCAGTCTGGACAGGATTGGATGTCACGTGCAAAGTTGCAGAGATGCCTTTTCCACTACTGCTGCTTCCAGCAGCTGCTGTGAAGAGGTCCTGAGTCAGTTTGACAGTAGTGACTTGAGATTTGGCCAGGGTGGCCATCATGTCCGGGGTGATACGCAGCACAGTCTGTCCCTTCGCATCCGTGGTGATTGAGGAAGGCGGTAGGCGCAACACGTCCTTTCCTTGGATCCGAAAATTAGTAGCTGTAAGTGGGATGCCACTTCCTGGCTGGGTCTTCATGCCAAGCTGCCCTGTAATAGCCACCTGGAAAAGACCAGAGAAACAATTGCATCAAACCAGAATGCAGTGCAAGGCACAGTCAGACAAAAGTAAAACTTCCCCACAGGCTGATGTTTGCACAGTGTTCTTTTTTCCACTGTGACTAGCATTCAGCGGGATGCTACCGTTCACTGCACTGCTGAAAACAGATTTGGCTGCTCATTACATAGCTTTCCCTAAACCATATGAAATACTCTGGAATTGGCTCTTTTTTCAAACAACACAAATTAAAAGGATCAGCATCTGAAGATGGTAAGTTAAAGAACTGAAGTTAAAGAACCCATGCTAACACATTTTTCACCTGTGCATGAAAATGGGGCTCAAATACAGCAAACCACTGGGGCCTAAAGCTGCACGGCCCATCAACTCAGCTCACTGTAGTTTTGACTCTTTTCACATCTGTGTATCATGTCTGTCACAATAAATGGGAAACAGCTTGGCCACTCTTGTCTCTCCCTCCCTCTCACCTGCTTGATGATATTCTGGCCAGCCACGTTCTGGATGACAGTGGTAGAGGAGGTGCTCGTGGCAGAACTGCCTGGAGAGCTGGTTACTGGCTTTACAGCAGGACTGGGCGCTGCAGACAGTCCTGTCACGGTGATGCCTGTCTGTCCTGTCACGGAGGTTCCTGGTCTTTGCACCTGCACTGGGCTGGTTTGAGCTTTTACTGGTAGAGTCATCACAGCCTAAAGCAAAACAACACAAAGGCAACTTAAGAGCAGGCTAACACAATCCTGACTAATACTTGCTCTTTCTGTCTTGTGCCTTGGTATGCAAATTCTGGACTTTTACTGCAATGCAGAAATTAATGGTGCCATACAAGCTGGTAATGGGGACAAAAAAAAAGGGACACCAAACAGCTTTATTTATACTTAACAGTTTCTATGCTCTGTAATGCATTTACTGCATGTCCCAAGACAGCAAGTAATCCCTGAGCACCATACTGAAATACTAGGGAGATCCACAGATTAGAAGTCAGAGCTACTCCCGCATTTCCACGTAGCCAGTCTTACCTGAGGCAGCACTTTAGTTTGCGTGGCTGTAGCTGGAACACGGATTTGAGGCACTGATGTAGGTTGCTGCTGCGTTACCACTGGGGCTTGCTGAGACACAGCGGGGAGGCTGGACTGGGCAGCAACCACTCGGACCTGCGGCAGTCCCGAGGACGTGGTGTGACTTACCACCCGGGCGGGAGGTGCCTGGGGCCCAGGCTGTGTCTGTGAACTCTGGGCTGTGGAAATCAACGTCCCAAGCTGTGGCATGGTAGGGGATGATACCAGAAGAACACTATAGAAAAGATAAAAGCCAGGTCAGTACAGATGCAGAACATAACTGAGAAAGAACTAGGAATACTCACACGTGATGTATGAGACAGAAGGGGAGCATACCTTTGGCTGGGTTTTGCTGGCTCTGACCCAGCACTAGACACAGTCTTGCTAACTACAGACACTGGTGGCGGTGAAATAGGCGTTGCTGGCAATGCTGGTGCAGTTGGTGTCACGGGAGTCACTGGAGTTGGTGGCATGCTGGAGTCACTAAGGCTCAGCTGACTGGGCTCTGATGCACTGCTGGGGAGTGCTTTCACAGAACTCTCCTTGCTACTTGACTTCTACAAAGAAACCAAGCCAAACATGAAGGCCTTTACAAAAACTGGCTGTGACTGTTGCTCTCTGAGGCCTTTAAATGGATCTATACAGTTACAAATGATGCCCTGGTGCAAAATCCTGAAGTCACAGACGAGCAATGGCCTGCCTTCCTCACCTGCAGCCACACATGGGTTGGTCAGTGTGGCTGCTCTTGTTCTCAGAGAGAAGGGCAACTCAGCAGTGACAAACATTCAAAAGATTCAGATATCCACATTGGTTAATTTGCCAGCTGCAACTGTTTTAGAGGTATCTCACATCAATATCAAAAAAATAAAAGAAAGACATCCAAATCCTGACAGCTTCAGCACTGCAAGAGGGAGAGCAGCAGACATGCTCCACATGCTCTGTTACAGATTAACGTCAAAACTGGATCTAAAGAGACTGTCCCTAAGATGAGGAACCCAAATGAACTCAGTTGACCTTTCTTCTCTCAAGATCAACATGGATTACAGTCAAAGCTGGGAGACACAAAGCTCCCTCTCTCCTACTTCATTCTGTGCACTGGTAGTAGACTCTCACATTCACCAACATAATGAACTGTTAACTCAAAAAGCAATAAAACAGGTGGTAATTTTTTTTTATCCACCTTGTTGGATACAGAATTTACAGATCAAGATAAACCCATACCTCATTCCCAATCACAAAAGCATCTGTGCAAAGAAATTTACCATTTTAGCTGGAGGTTTTGGCTTCTGCTGAAGAGCTTTCTTGGCCTTTGCTGCAGCAGCTTGAGCCTGATGGATCCGCTCTGCAAATACAAATTACTGGTTACGAATCCTGAACACAAGCAAACTGAATTACCAAAGTGGCCATCCAAAACTTTCATCTTCAGAAAAGAAATTAAACACACATGCACACAGGGACTTGTAATAGCACAAAGGAATACCAAGGCAAATCAGCCCCAAAAGGCTGGAACAAAGATGTGTTGAAGTTGTCAACCTAAATAAATCTAGAGTTGCAGAGTGCTATTTTTGTGACAAATACTCACTACAAACTAATACATGCTGCTCTGCAAGACTTGATTTAAGTGTTGATGGGCTAACACTAGCAAAGTGACTAGGCTAGACTGGTGAATTAATGTTCATTATCCTGAAGAAGCTCAAGAGCATGGCAAGTGAAAAACAACATGAGATTTAGACATTCTCAGTTCTGAAGATACAGAACCAAGTAGTAGCACCAAGCCAGGCTTACCAAACTCTTCCTCACTCCTGTCCCGGTGTAGATAGATCCACAACTTGCGCCCAATATCATATTTCACGCAGGGATCTTTCTCATAATGTAATCGATCCAAAGCACCACTAACAACGGTATTAACCTGAAATTCAGAATTCATGGGATTACAAGATGTCCCAGGTTGCGCTAGCCAGAGGTCACGTACAGAAAAGCCAATCCTGTTTGGCATAAAACCAGAGTGAGCTGCTACCAATCTTCTTTTGGTTAAGAATTTACTGAGAGCAGATGTTGCAGCATGAGGCTCTGCTTGCCTTTGTGGATTAAATGGAGCTTCACCAAACCTGAGAGCTCTGAAAACTTCCTGTTTCTGAATCTCATATTGGAGCAGGTGTATGACAGAGTGTCAAATCTGTGGCTTTTCTAGCTATTTTCCTTCCTCCAGAATTCAGTGCAGACTTGCAGCAGCTCACCATAATACTACAGAGCTCTCATTTTCCAGTTGAAGTAGTATAAAAATTATTGGGCTTTTGTCACTGCATATTGCCTGGGTCTCAGCAGTGTGTTGTTTTTGTTTTTTTTTTTAAGAGAATACAATTGGTTCTCTTAGATAGCATCCAACTTACTTGAGCACTTGTGACATCAGGAGCTAGGAACTGGGAATCTTTAAGCAGCTCACAGATTTCAGCACGAGTTCCTTCTCCATTAGGAAGGCGGGCAGCAGCATCACGAACTGAAATAGAAAATCAGAGCTTAAGCTTCCATCCCTACCATGACTGCTATATACAAATACTTCGATAGATATGTTTCTGTACTGCTTTCTTATCTCCACCTCTTTTAGTGCCCAATTACTCACTAAAAGCTAGTCTCCATGGTCTCTCAGGGCCTCTGATGACTATATGAGCAGAGAACACAAATGATCATTTTAAAGCACATCAACTGTGCTGGCTTGGTGCCTGGAACAACGAATGTGAAGACCAGCACTCAAACCCTGAATGACTTCGCAATGCCCCAGTTTCACAACAACAGGCTTAAACCACCACTCTTTGTTTTCCAGTTATATGAGCCTTAGCTTCAGCCTCATGGACTCTCCACTTCCCATTTTCTCTCAGATGAAAAGTAACAGATGCTTCCTTTTCTAGTTATTCCTGCTCCCAGCATTTCATCAGCTTATTTCATAAACTTATGTCATTTCTTCTTCATTTATGTCATACCAGTTCATCCACTTTTCCCCTTATAACGTAGATTCCTAAAGTCATTGTTTAGGTGGACAATGGTGTCTTTTTCTTTTGTTTAAAAAATATTTTTGGCAAAGGACGCCATCGCCTTACCAAGAGACAAGATGGTGACATATGCTGGTCTGTCTGATCGCAGGAGAGAATGCTCTCGGGCTTTGTTTAATGATGTTTCCTTGTCAAACACCCCCTTCACAGGACCAACAACTGACTCAAAGCCGTGCATACGGAAAGTGAAAGCTTTGTGGGGCTGGCTGTAACGGTATCGTTCCTGTGTTTTTAAACAAGAGCACTGAATTTAGCATGTATAGATGCAAAGACTTGAAACTTGTAACTGAATATGGGTTAAATTACTATCATTCTGTAGATAAAGTGTTTTGTTTTGTTTTTTAATTAAAGCTCCAATATTGCTGTATAAACTTATTTTGGATCAATACAAGCATTATCTACTTCAAGCAGAAGACAAAGCAGCACATAAAAAAGTGCCCAGGTGCAATATATCGGGTTCACTCTTAAGCAGCTGCACAGACTACAGAGGTGCCAGAGACAGACATTCTGCCCAGCAAACAACTCTGCTTGCAGTGGCAATGTGCCATTTCTTCTCATCTGGCAAGAGAGATTTCCAAAATTTAACCCGGGTGGTCTACCATGCAAATAGCACATGTACCCAGGGCGAAGACTCCTCATCATGTGTTTACCCTATAAAATACACAATTTTCCAGCAAGGCCACAAGCCTTAGAGACACAATGGGACTTTTATCTACTACAGACAAGATGACTAAATGTATAGGTGCGCTTATTGCCACTTATCTTCTGTTTTTTACACTTATACATGTTCAAAAAATATAGAAACGTCATCTTCATCTGCTAGGAGACGACAGAGTAGAGAGAAATGTTGGCACTAACAGTATCAATTAATTTTGCCCAATACTCATTGGAAATAGAGCTGTTTTTGAGATAAGCAGTTGAGCTATATTGTTAGCAAGTTATCTGAGGCTGATACCTATTTCAAGGCAGAAAAAAACATTTAAATCTTTTGTGTTAACAAAGTTTTTGTAGAGTATACAACTCCCATCCCATACAAATTCTCTTTAATGGCCAAATCTCTCAGTATGTGTATTTAAAATTGGAAAGATTATCTTCTTACCTGTTCCTGAAACACACGTTTCTCTTCTCCAGTACTAGGCCGGACTACGTAGTCAGTCCTTCTGAAACAAAGATCACCATCAGTTCTGAGCAAAAAGCCCACAGCAATCACAAAGACCCAAAGGATTTGCCACCCCACTCTTACTGCAAATTCTTCCGGCACCATAGAACAAATTCTGAAAGCATTTATGCTGATGTAAGTAAGTCCCGCAGAGATCTTAGAGTACACTCTATAGCCTACCTGAAAGTAAGCAAGGACTGTAAATAATCTCGTAATCAGGATGCAAGTTTGAGTACAGGTCTGCTCAGATAACAGGTGAACTTGGGAAAACTCAGCTGACTTTGCAAAGTATAGTTAATACATTTGTAAACTCACACTAACAAATTCCCTTCTGCCCCACGATGTAAAATATTTTTCTTTTAAGCAGACAGCTGCTCAGATCTAGAGGTGCAAGGACCAAACTCCACAGCTTTAGCACATACTGCAGAAGTTTTTAAGCAGTATTATGTACTTACACTCTGGGAATTGGTGTTGTGGCATCTGAACTGTCTTCATTTTCCTATCAAAAAAAAAAAAAAGACATGTCAGCATTGGATACAGCCCATCAGGTTTTAGGCGGCTAAAATACCATTTTTTCTGACTCACTTTGAAAAAAGTCTGGTCCTTGGTCTCCAACCAGAGCTGAAACAGGGCTGCCAATTCCTTCTCATGATCTTGGCAAGAACCTAGTCCAAGAAATCAAGACACATAGGAAATAGAAATAATTTGTTATTAAGCCAGCTGCTGCTTGTACTTCCCAACCACCTCCTACTCCCTTCCAACCTCTATGCATCACCAGTCACAAGGCGTCTTACACACTTCACAGATGCTCCAGTTTCACTACTTTAACACATTCAGGCTCAGGAAAGTGCTAAAACCTATTAAGCCCCCTATGTTGGTATGAAGGATGGTGCTTCAACTCCAGGCATAGCAACCAAGATACTGTTTGAGATACAGCAATGATACATTTGCAAATGGTCCCCAGTTTCCAAAGTGAACCCAGTCACCAAGTCCCTGAGCAGAAACAAGTGCCTACATAACCTCCACCAAAGACTGTGAAGGGGCCGGAGGAATACCTTCCTGACTCCAAATCTCAGCCAGTTTAACCCTGTGAATATGACCAAGAGTCACTATAGTTAAGAATCAAAAATTCTGCCTAGCAGCTATAGCAAAAATAAAAAATGCTAGACATCTGTAATTCACTCAGTATGAGTCTGGGCACATTTATGAGTCAGCAACATAAATAAAGTTCAATGCCTTTGCTCACTTATTCTCTGTCTGCTCTTGAAAATAGTGTATTGTGAAAGCTTTGAATGTAAAAGACATTTTTCCTCAGCTAAAAGAACACAAAAGGCCTAACAGCTTAAGTAATAACTCTGCTGGACTTTCTCTCTGGGCTGTAGCAAGCTAGAGTCCTGAAGAAAACAACTAACCTTTACCATAGTAGAAATCATAGAAAAGTACAAGTTACCAAGCAATTTCCACTGCTGAGTTTTTTCCTTGAATTCAACAAAAGGAGAGAAGCTGGATGGAACATCTGCAATGAAAGATGTGCTTTTCAGATACAGCAAACAAGTGCAACCCCCAAAAACCTACTGTTGTAACACGAATTGTCAAGTTAGACTCATAGTGACAAAAAAAATCATCGTAAAGTGATTATGTAAGTGCGCCTCTAAATTTATACTTGCCTGAAGGAAAGGTTAGCATCTCGGAGTAACAGTGCAATCCCAAGAAAAGAAAAGAACAGGATAATGAGCTTTTCGTCTACAGGCTGTCAGGCATGATCCTGTTCACATGCTGTGAGGCACAAGGAACTGCTGCTGTATGGTAACTATTTCCTGAGCTCACATGAAACAAACTTTAGATTTATGGTATTCACCAGTATTGTGGGCAACACTAAGGATGAGCAATGACCACAACAATATACATTGTTTCTCCCTTTAAAACTTCCAACTAAGCAAATCAGAACCACAGAATAACTTTGTTTAAAAGGAACCTGTGGAACTTAGCTGGTCCAAGCCCCAAGTCAAAGCTGGGCCAACTTCACATTTCCAGTAGATTGCTCAGGGCATCATCTAGTTTATTTTTCATTATCTCCAAAGACAACTATAACCTCTTTGTACTGGGAAAAGGCTAATTTCTTCCTGCTTCAAATATCATGCCTGAAGCACACAATCTAAACAGGAGAAACTGCCTGTTTCAGTTTCACATACACTGGAATCAAGCTGGGTCTTATCTACTATCCACATGCAAACTGAGTCTACCACAATCAAGAAAAAGAAAACCATACAGCTTATAATAAAAACACTGTCAACAATGCAGTGATTTATTGTAATGATGAATTAAAATTTGATTGGAGGTATAATATAAACCAGCACTGATTGGAACTGAGGTACAAGCATCCTATGTATTTTTAACAGCCGTTCTTACCTCTGCTGTCACCTGTTAGGTACTGTAAGGCAGGTAAAACCAGCTCAGACCAGTTAGGGGCAAAGGAGAACCAGTTATTTAGTGCACTGGCAGGAGAAGATTGCCAATCTAGAACTTTATCCTCAAGCTGAAAAGGAAAAATAAATATTCTATTAAAAATCTCACACTTTAAACTATGAATGTTTTAATAGAAGAGGAAAGCAAAACAGCTAAACGCGTCCAGGGGAGGAAAGATTTTATATTCATAAAAAAAGATCACCTGACTTTTTCAAGTAACCATAAAATGGTATTTCAAACAACAGACACCAAAAGCAAAAAAAAATTCTCCACCATCACCAGCTTTGATACAAAGAATTTATCTAATTGTGATCTAAAAACAGATATGGAAAGATTTACGTGTGCAATAGACTACAATTATGAAACACATTAAAAAACAGAATGTGATATGCACTCCCAAAGAGCTGCCTTTTTTTCTGCGTGTGCAGAATCTACACTAACGTAATTTAGAGCAGGACACCTCTGGGGAAAATCACTATTACAGAGCTATAAAAAAATTCTAAAACCTAATTTGGCTTTCTGCAAAGATTCCTAAATATGTGGGTAGTTTCTTACCACAGAGAGACTAGCAGGTCCTTCCAGATACAGTATCTCCAAAAGAAGGAAAAAGAAGCTGGAAGATATTTCATTTACACCAAGGCATGGCTTCATCTCTTCAAGAGGTCTTCAAATGAAAGAAAACACAAGCAGAGTACAAGTTTCCTGAGTAAGTATTCACCTTCATATACAGAGATGAATATTCCATATTTTACACATTCCAAGATGCACAGAACCAGAAACAATGTCCTTCACAGAATCATAGAATGGCTCTGGTTGGAAGGGACTTGGTACCATCCAGCCTGGCCTTGAGCACCTCCAGAGATGGGACATCCACAGCTTCTCTGGGCAACCTGTGCCAGTGCCTCACCACCCTTACAGTGAAGAATTTCCTCCTAATCTAAATCTCTCCTCTTTTAGTTTAAGACCATTTCCCCTTGCTCTATCATTACCTATCCGAGTAAAGAGTCCTCCTCCATCCTTTTTATAAAACCCATTTATGTACTTAAATGCTGTACGGAGGTCTCCCTGGAGCTCTCTCTTCTCCAGGCTGAACATCCCCGGCTCTCTCAGCCTTTCATCAATAGGAGAAGGCACACCTTCAAGTGTGCCTTCTCTTCTTAGCTCTGAAATTCCGCTGCTGCCTAAGATGCTTCATCCCACCACGGGTGAAAGAGCCAGACAAAACAGAAACAGAGATAACTACACCTAGTAAGATCTGCAAAGGTACTGCAAAAATCTGAGCTGCAACATCCATTACGCTCTTCATCCCCTCAAAGCATTCAGGGCCCCCTGAAGCACTTACTCCTCTTTGACAGATGACAGAGGGATGGGGGAAGGATCCTGAGACAGTGATGGAATCCCGTCTGCATTGCTAAGAGAGTCAGCCAGATCTTCCACCTCAGATTTAATCATCTTCAGCTTTTTCTTCTTTTTATCTTCCTTTTCTTTCACCTTTTTCTTGAGGGTTGCAAGGTCAAATAAGGCTTTAGATATGACAAAAGGTAAGAAAAATAATGAGAAAATATCTTACTATATTTCAGTGAGGATCATTAACTATATTGTTGAGCATGTATTCAAAAATGTACATAGTGTAAACTCATTCACTACCAGTCCATTCCAGCCTCCTACTTACTTCCATGATTTATTTATTTTTTTTTAATTTCCCCTCAATGCACTGGTTTTATAGAAAAACTTGATTTAAAAAAAAAAAAATACACATTTGGAATCAGAAAGGTGAAGGCAACTGCTTAGAGCAGAAATACAAGTTAAATTCCATCAATTAGTTGGAAGCACCTTCAATAGAAACTGGAATTATCTATTTGCAACTGCAATTTACAGTTTCAGAGCAGCTAGCTAGCTATGTAAAGAGCATTCAGGAGAGACTTCCTACATCCCTAGCTCTTCATACCCTGTGTTTATGCAATGCACAGGTACCAGTTCCAGCCACTGACCTGCTAAGGAACCTTTCCTGCCAGCATTCACACGAGTCATGATGTCCTCAAGAGTCAGATCTGCTGTCATTAAATCTGGGTGATCCTACACGGGACAATGGGATAGAAAGGAAAATCAGGAAAGCAAAAAGCACTAAGATAGCAACAAGAGTACAGAGGATAACCAAATACTGAGATGTGTCAAACTTATCCGGGATCAGCATATAAAGTTATTCACTGCAATAAAAACAGGGAAGCCTTCCAACCCTGAAATCCAATCTTTTCATCAACTAAGTTTAGTAATCACACATCAATAAAATTACAGAATACGTCTAAACAGGTAAACATAAACAAGAGTTGTATATGTCCTCCAATGATTAAATATAGATTACATTAAAGGACTGTAGGGGGGCCACACCTAGAAGCACTTTACAGCTAAAAGAAAAAAGACAAAGAGACAACATCTAGTACCAGCCACCCCAAGACTTTTTATCAACTTACAGGCTGACGTTTTCGTTTCTCATGGTGCTTCCTCAGCATGATCTTCAAGTCACTTTCCCCAAGTTCTATCCTGTCTGCAAAAACAACAACAACAAAAAAAAAACAGTCAGAGATAATTTGCAGATTTTTGTTTTCTTACTTTATAGACTACTTAAAATACTGTTTTCTATTTGTTCCCACTCTCAGTAATCTTCAAATTTCAGTAACTCAAGGAAATTCAGTCTTTTAATCAAACAGTTTATTTCAACGCTTTCTTCCTTGGTTGATCAGATTTAATTGCTTATGCAAGCATGGAAATGAAAAGTGAGAACGAGTTGTGTTGCACAAAGGCTTTTTGCAGGCTTGATTACAGCAACCTTCAGAGGGATTCCCTTAGCACATACTCGAAAACAGTTCAAACCATGCTATACTAATGGCTTGTCCATTATGGAAAAATACAACAGAAAAATCAGTAGTACTACACAACCCATAAAAACTTAAAATACTGACTTTTCAAGGAGAAAATGTGAGAAGATCTGAATGTTTTGGGGACTACAGAAAAGAAGCATTACATGATTTCCCATGAAACAACAGACTATCCCAGCCAAATTTTTGCAGGTTCTCAAAGTAATTCTCATCCCCAATTCCTTACTGACACCTAGTTTGGTTCTCACCTGCTGTCTTCATGTCCAAAGTTGATAACGTGGGTATTACTCTCAGGGGAATCGGTGGACTTGGACAACGTGCTGGAGAACTTGGAGGCCAGGAGCTTAGATCTTAAATATGCAAATAAATAAATAAATGAATAAATAAATTTCTGCAAGACTTATCACCCCCAAACCTACATTCCCATGTTCATTAGCGTGCAGCTAATAAAATTGGAGTCCAGTTTTCATTCCTCTATTGAAGAGGCTATCCTCACATTAAAAAAAAAAAAAAAAGCTTTTTCTCAATTCACACTTAAATCTTTCCTTGAGTACAGGGCATTACCTTCTTCATCAGAAGACAAGGTGGTATCTCCACACTCCTCTTTCACTTCCCTCAGAATCTTCAAGTAGCGCCGATGTGCCCGTCTGTCCCGTTCTTCTGCATCATATGATGGTGAGAAATGCTTTCTCCTCAGGGTCATATCAGGGCCTCCTTTCCTAGCTAACTCCAGCAAATGCTGGAAGATGAGATATGAGTGACATTAGCTATCTTGGTTACATCTCTCTAAGTTAGAGTGGTTAAGCTTAACTCACATTTTCAGGATATTTAACATTCGGAGCTGATGTACTAACTACCTCGATTCTTTACAACCCTTAAAATGTAAGGGAATTTGTCAGATTGGCAACTATAAAACCAGTATTTTAGACCATCATTTAAAGGGGTGAAAAAGGCAAGAAGGGAGCTAATAAGACATTTCTGCATCTTCATCTGCACATACAATGCCTCACCGTCACTTTACGTGGACTGTTCAGAGGACCCTAACCACTGGTCTTGTATCCACTTGTACAGTTTCCATACCAAACGTGTAACACAAACATGGGAAACTTTTGAAGAAAAGATTTATCCCTTATGACTATAGAAGAAATAGCTTCCCATACATTTCTGTATTCTTTTTCCCCTATCACTATGAGGCATTTAATAAAGCCACTTTCTTCTTCATCCGTGCATACAGTATGTTGCGATGCCTAAGCTTAATGAAATGATAAGCAAGCATTTACAAAGGACACGTTTCAGGTGGCAGAGATAAGCTGACAGCACTATCTACAGAGGAAGACTTCATCAGGGATTTACAGCACCAGAACCAGAGTTTTTTTTATCTATTCTATACCAGTCTCCAATGAGGCTGTGGAATTCACACAACTACCTATTTAGCAAAGTTACTTGTTTCACAATGACATAAATGGCAGAAAAATTGAGGCAGATTCACTTGTTAAAATGAAGTGCCAAGAATGAAGCCCGGGGATGAGATGGGCATGGAAAAAACACACTACGCTACACAAGTGAGAGCTATGAAAGATTCAAAATCTGAAGTTTGATATGCATCTCTGCAAACATAACAATGCTTCTAGTGTTCTTGTATTATACAGGCCACTGGAAAAACAGAAAAGCAGCATTCAGTAACAGAAAGTCCTCTGAGAATTAGGAATGCACAAACACCAAGACACTTTGTTGTAAAGACAGCCTATTCGTTACAGAACACAAGAAGGCGATGACCAGGCCCCAAAGACAAGATACTCACGTTGCGGGAAGCAAGGATCTGCTTGAGCAGGCGGTAGAAGTACTGCTGCTGAGAGCTTAAGTAGCGTTTGTACTGGGACTTAAAACAGAGCTGCCGGTATTTCACAACTTCAGGATTGAAGTGCCCATCTATAACAAAGAGGTTAAAATTACCTCAGTTTTCATTAACTGCAAGTTAAGAACTTAACACCAAAAATACACAAAAGAGTATCACACTCACTGACCCCGAAAGAGTTTCTGGGCGATGTGCAGTGGATTTCCAAAGCGGAAGTTTTCACCACTGAACAATGCAGAGATGATTTTGTTTTGATGCTCTCGGTTGTTTTCAGGAAAGCGAGGCAGGAATGTTTTTAGGTGGTCTCGCTGCGCATCTGTCAGCACCTCCTGCCATGTTGACAAGCTGACAACTTCAAAGAAGATCTCAGGCTACAGAAAGGAAAAAACAATAGCAAAGAAAATGTGTACACGTCTTTAACAACTTTCTAGCCCTCAAGGCTTTTTGCAGTTAAGTAACATAGGACATGAGACAGTGTAACACATCAAACACAGAAAGCAACAGTGTAAGGAAAAAAGCCAAGGAAATAAATACTGTTATCAAGTAGCAAATAAATTCAAAACTTTTAACAAACGGAACTTGTATTCTATTCTCAAATATAACTGTAAAATAAAAGGGATCTTTATCTAGAAAAATAATGTGACAGAAAAGTCTTTTAAGAAGTTTTACTGACATTATTCAAGGCACTATTCAACATCCTTTCCAGGAGTCAGAAACATCCCTTTTCAGTTTGCTCTCCCTGGTAAGCCCCAGGACAGGAAGCAAACATACTGTTTGTCAATGCTGTGGGAACATAAAAAGTTTGTAGTGCTACTCACGTCCTCCAGAAGGTCCTCGGGCAGACTAACCCTCGTTGTGCCCAGCATGCAGTCCTCCATGATCCGTGTGCCGTTTCCATCCCCGCACGGCCCCAGCTCCAGGGGGTCGGTCAGCATGTGGTCCAGGGAGTCCATCCTCCTCCCTCTGCGGCTCCTGAGCAGGGGCAGCAAACCCTCACCTCACCCACCAGAGCCCCCAGACCAGCTCCATCCCGGGCTGACAACATCTGAGTCAACATTTGGTGAACCCAGGATCCTTGCGGGTCCCTTCCAACCCGGGATATTTTATGATTTTAGGTGTTTTAACACAAGCTGCACAGCCTGCTGAGGGACACAGACCGTGGCTCCCGAGGGGTGCTCTGGCAGAGGGCACACCGGGCCAGCAGCCGCGACCCTCCCAGCATGACAGGAAAACGCCTCACACCGCTTCCCACCCAAAGCCCCAAAGCCACAACCCTCGCGGCGAAAACACCCCAAAAAACCACCCAAACCCACCAAAACCAGAGCTCCCGTCCCCAGAGCCCCCCACCCCGTCCCCAGAGCCCACCTCCTCACCTCAGCGGCGCCGCCCCCTCCTCACCCCGGGGCCGCGAGGACCGAGGGAGCCGAGCCCAGCCCCAGCCGCCCTCCGCCGAGCCCCGCTGCGGGGGGGTCGCGGCCCGGGGCCGGCGGCGCTGCCCCCTCAGCCGCTGCCCCCCTCAGGCCGCCCGCGGCTCCAGGCCCCGCGCACGCGCCCCATGGCCCCCGCCGCGCCTGCGCAGAGCCGCGGGAGGGAGGGGGGGGGGGAAGGCGGGCGGGAAGCCGCGTCGCTGCCCCGGCGCCATGTTGGGGCCCGGAAAGGGCAGGGCTCTGGGTGGCAAAAGGCGGTTGAAACCGGAACTGATAAATAAATACATAAATACATGCATCAATAAATAAAGCCCGGTTTTGGATCAATCAATAAATAAAGTCCCTTTTTTCACCCAGGGGAGGCCCGCACAGATCACACTGCTCGGTATTTAGAAAAAAAAAAAAAAAGGAATTTATTAATTTCGTTTTTACACCTGCCAGGTAGCACAAGACTATTAACACTAGAACAGTCACTGAATGTACAATAAACATACACATTTAAATAACAGCGGGCAGAGCGATGTGGGACAGCCACTGCAGCATCCCATGGAAACAACCATGTTTCGTCCCAAGTGCCCCAGCAGTCTGAGAGGTGTATATATTTTTTTTAATTTTAATTTTTAATGGGGTGAGGGTTGAGAAACTGACCCAAAACACCTGCACAGAAAAGCCTGAGGCCCCAGAAGGCCCCATGGCAATTCCCATCTTTGAGCAAATCATGCCCTGTGCAGGTAGCAGAGTACTGCAGCATTAAGCTCCAGCGGGACATCATTTTAAGAGACAAATGTTTGGGGTGGTTCTGGTTAAAAAAATAATAATAAAATATAGTAAATCCTATGCCTTCTGCACTGCAGAAACTGGAAAAAAAAAAAAAAAGAAAAAAAAAAAGAAAAAAAAAAGAAATATTGGCTATTTTTGTTGTGTTTTGTTTTTGTCTTCTTTTTAAAAGCAGTCCCTGTAGCACAGCTGTGCTGTGGGGCTGTTCTGCTCTCTCCCCCAGTCTGGGTAATCACTATATTTTATTACTTTGGAATGAAAATTCACAATGCTTGATTTCCAGGGATGCTTCTCCCCCGATGAGGCATCAGTTTGACTTAAGACACAGTGAATCACTTAATGCTGGTGTCAAGCTGATGGATAAGTATACTACTATTACTGTAGGACAGAGCAGAAACTTTGATAAGGAACATGTGAGTTCAAAGATGCTGTTTTACAGTTGTTTTCTAGAATACCCTGTAGTTTTCAGCTTTAAATAACTGGTACAAGAACAAGCAACCTCATTCTGTGATCCTTTCTAACAAAGTTGAATGTAACAAAATTTTGTTGTTTGTTTGTTTAATCCCACATTTGCAATATTGTTAAAGACAAAGTTTGATCATCTCTAAAGACTGTAGAGCTTTTAAGACTTAAAAAATGCTCCTGCAGAACAGTGCATTTGCAATATCCCATTTCCAAGTTTCCTATTTTCCTATTACTCGTACCACATTTGACTCATGTTATTAATCTAGCAGTCTGAAAATAGACCCTTTTCTTGAAAAAGATGCCACAAGGCAAAGCCAAAACCAAGATCTCCCTTCTGCTCACCCAGATGAACATCGTAATGGCCTGTTACTCAAAAGTGCTCAAGCAAGGACAACTGCAGTTGCTTGGCTGCATTGCTAAAGTAGATGACCTCCCAAATCCATTGAACTGAAGGACTCATCACTGCACTACACTAAATGGGAGCTCAGGTCTTCATTAAAGCTTAGGGATATGGTTTAGTGGGGACTGTTAGCGTTAGTCCAGAGGTTGGACTCGATGATCTTGAGGTCTCTTCCAACCTAGAAATTCTGTGATTCTGTATATTTTACCAATCACGTTAATGCCCCAATTATTAATTAATGCCCCAGTACAGTGGTTGCAGTAAGAGAAGCAGAATACCAGGCACAAATTAATCTATGTTTTGGCAACTCACTTCAAGCTACCTCAAAACAGTTCTGAGCTGTCCAATATTTTAAACAGGATTTATCTCATCACGCACAGTCACTATTTCCATACCATATTTAAAATGTTATTTACTGAAGCAATACATGCTACAAGGCTTTGCCAGCAAGTAACAAGTCATCCACTTTTTCAGTCGGAGTGTTAAGTTCTCTCATGTCTAAGAGCTTTAACTCCGTAAGGCCTGACACCACAACCTGTAAACATGTGTAACACCTACTCACATCGTTAATCCCCATCTCATTCTGTGGGAGTACAAACACAAAAGTTCCAGATTCGTGCTCAATGCAATGTAAGAAGAAATTAGAAAAAAAAAAAATCCTCTCTTAGTTCTTCCGACCTTTCTCAAGGGCCATTAAGACAAAACTTCTTTGTTTTATAAATAAATGTATCCTATGGTACACTGACATTCTGGGATGAGGTTTCAAGCAGAGTGAATGGAGGTTTAGACACAAACAGTATATCCCATCAACAGTAAATGGAGATGTAGTCATATTCTTGCAAATACCAGAATGCATTAAATAACCAACCAACAAGACCCGTGAAGGGGAATTATGTAAGAAAAAAATACACTGCCTTAAAAGATAAAACTTTTTCTTTCTCCTGGTCCCTAAGAATAACGTGAGTTCGGTACGTAGACCAGGTCTACCAAAGCAGGCAACTCGCAGATGGCTTTCTGTGTCCCATAAATAGTGGTCCATTGGTGTTTTTCTTGTACGTGTTTCCTGAGTCCAAGGCTGGTCATTTTATGAAACTGTCCAAAGGAATTACAGTGCATTGTTAACAAGGTGTTTGGAAAATCAGCATAACCAACTCTCCATTCAGTCTTCAAGAGAAAAATACATCCACTTTGAGATGGCAACAGAGATAACTACCCTGCATCTTCAGAGGTGTATTCCTGTACCTGCTTCTCCTGGCACAACTGTCGCTAGAGGTCACAGCAGAAGCTGCAATGCAGGCTAAGGTGAAACTTTTTTGTTTACAGGCAAAAAGGCGATTTTCCCTGCAAACTCTGGAGGGGAAAGAGATTACAGTGGCTCTGTATTACCATTATGTGCTACTAGGGTTTTGATCAGTTTGTTCCAAACATGGGGTTAAGACTGCACTTTTCCTTCTTCTGGAACTTCTTGGTAAAGTAGGGCAGGGGAGAGACAGCATGTAAACAGTTTGAGGGGTTGGAAAAATAATAATTTAATGGACTGCTTCTGCACGTCTTCACAGCTTCATTGCTATATCCATCCCCACACACATACACAGTCACTGCTTTGCTGCTGCCCTTTTTCTTCAGGCAGTCTGCTCTCAAGCATATATTCCCTTTCAACTTGGCTGTTGAAACAAAGACAGAAGAAGCGGTTCTGCCATACTCTGGCAATTTACATGATGTCCTCCTGTTCAACGGCTCCTATTAAAAATATACATACAATATAATCTGCCAATTAGCCTTCACTTGGGCAAGCTTTTCCCTTCCAATTGAAATAAGAGTTGTTTACCAGAGACACTTCCATGAAGGAAGAAACAAGGGTCAGCAGACATGCCAAAAAAGTCCAGGGCAAGCAGGTTTCATTTCTCCTTTTGTCCTTTTTGTTAAAAGCTGCATAAAATAGTATCCCAGAAGGATTTTGAGGGTACTTCTTCGTGGTCACTGAGGACTTCAACCCTCTTAAAGCATTAAGAAGAGCTCCAATATTTTAGTTGAAGTTAAGTGAGCATATACTTTAAAACATATTGAGCTCCAGGATACCCATATATTTGAGCTTCTGGGGGAGGTGAAAAGTACAAGCAAATGACACTGCAAGGCTTCTTCATTCATGTTCTGCTGAGAAAGTTCTTGGTTTAGTGATGTGCACTTCACTGCCCCCATTCCCATTGGTGGTTGTAGTGATTATGTACTGGGTTGTTTGCTGCTGATTACTCGTTTGAGATTCCAATGTATCAGCATGGGCTGGCGGCTGGGAAACACCAACCTGTACCTCACTGGAGAGCGAAGAGTTTTGTTTGACATCCAAATCAGGTTGACCTTCAGATATCACATAGTGAGTCTGCATGAAGAATATAAAAAATAAGTAATTGTTTCATCTTCTATATCTTTTCTTTTGTAATCATCTTCAACTTTCCTGCTGCTGTGCTGAAAGACATTTTGGTATGAACAAGGAATTTTGAAGTTGAGAATGTAATGCTTTAAAGTGTTATTTCTGAGACCAAGGTAACACTGATTAGACCCCTGCTTTAAAGTACATTGGACTACTTGAAGTTTGGGTTAGTTATGAACAGTTAAACTATTTATACAGTTAATCCACCATTAGAAATTAAAATAGCAATTTCTATTAAAATAGAAATTACAATACAACTATTCTGAAAGTTTCTTCCATTTTCCGTATGTTCTAGCAGAAGTTTCATTTCTAGTGTCCAATATCAGTGTAGTAAAACTACCACACTTCCTTATGCTGGATTGCTTCCTAGGTGAGATAGTAATTCTCAGAAATGTTTCTGAAACTTGGCCTCATGGCTACAGCTTAGTTGTAAATATTTTTACTGCCACTGAATCATACCTTCTCCTACAAATGTGATTAAGTGAACACTTTAAACCTCAAGGAGTCATACAAGGGTCTGACAGGCATGGGCCTTGCAAATGGCTAGGTGCAGAAAACTGTTCTTGACACATGAAGAAATATGATGCTACCTCAGAAAAAAAAAAAATCCCTTATGCATATGAGATTATGTCTTGCCTTTTGTAACCTCAAAGTTGACAACATTACTACATTTTACCAGTAGCAGTTTTCTCCTTAGCCTATGACACAGCATTTATTAGCTGTTTTGCCTAGAGATTCCACCCAGCATACATGTAGAACTCCCTACAATCATTACAGAAAGCCAAAGTCCTTTCAGACAATACACTATGGACCTCTCTAGATGCACCATTGCTCTCTGTGGCCCTGTCATCATTTTAGAATTCCTTTAACCTTCAATCTAAAGGCTTTAAAAGCACTGATACATTATTCTAGACAAAAAGAAAAGGCCACGATTCTTTTCCTTACCTGAGTAACAGCTTTCACTTGCCCTGTGTTGACAGTGGTGACAGGTGTACCTACAGCTGTCTCTGTGATCACATACTGGCCTTGAGGAATGGTCATCATCTGAATCTCAGATGCTGAAAATTGAAATTGGAGAATCAAAATATTCAATCAAACTCAAAGATCACCTTGAAAGATAATAAAGTCTTGCATCGATAACAAGAGTAGTTGTTGAGGCCTGTGGAGTTTTAAAAGGCTTTTTGCAACCTGAATTTCTGCTCAAGAGAATTATACCAGATAACATTGGCTGAGGATTCTCTTCATGCATATAACTAACAGCTTGTTCTACCCCCAAGAAATCACAGAATTATCATCCAGAGCTTTATGGACATGAAGTCATTTCATGTCACCCTCATCTCCTGTATGACTCTTTGAAGCATCCATCCAAATTTGAACAAGCTGCTATCCACTATATGGATTCCTGCTGAGTGCAGGATCCTTGAATTAAAGGTGCCCAGTCTGCCAGTCCAGACTACATATCAAGTAATTATAGATGTACAGTATATATATATATATAAAAAAAAGCTAATACAACAATTTTCATTTTCTAAAATTGTTTAATATTCATAAAGATCTACAAAGACATACTCTCCCATTTAGAAGATATTCTCTCCCATTTGTTGGCTGGTAAAACAGAGAACATAGCAGTTCTACACATCAGCCAAACTTCCAGTTACTGCTGACACTTACAGTAGCTCCGAAATGAGTTCCATGTGCTGGGAAGATATGTGTGCTGGACTGAAGACCCTTGCTGCTGCTGGAGAGATTGGTTTTGTGTAGATGTAGCTGTCTGCATCTGTGAGGGGCTGAGTTCCTGCTGAGATTGTTGTGAGGAGGGACTCAAAGGTTGACCCCCAACCTAAAAAAAAAAAAAAAAAAAAAAAAAAAGGTAAGTGTTCTCCAGCATGCTGAAGGATTGTATGCTTCTGCACTGTTATAAGCACAGCCTCCTTGTCAAGGGAAAAGAGGTGTAGGAGTTTCTATAGCATATTGAGTACAAGAACTGCAAAGCTCTGCTCCCTCCCCCCAGGCTTGTGTCTCTCTGTGGTTGGTAAGATCGGAAAAGAGAGACATGGCTTGCCAAAGGATACATGGGACCCAAGGGAATGGCACAAAGCTGCATCAGGGGGGTTCAGATAGAATACCGGGGAAGGGTTCTTCACTGAGGGTGGTCAGGCACTGGAACAGGCTCCCCTGGAAGTGGTCTCAGCACCAAGCCCGCTGCAGTTCAAGAAGCATTTTGGCAATGCTGTCATACATATGCTTTAATTTCTAGGTAGCCCTGCATGGAGCCATGAGTTGGATTCAGTGATTCTTGTGGGTCACTTCCAACTCAGGATATTCTATGATTCTGCAGTAGCAAGTCCGACAGAGGATGGAAACCAGAGGCTTTAAACTATCCCAGAAGATATTCAACACCAGTATATTCAAATATTAGAAGAACACCAGTTTTCATTTACATCTTCCAATTGGCTAACTTTATTCAACCACAAATAACGGCAAACTTGTCCATTTCTAGCCATTTATCTCTACCACGTATATGCTCTAAAATAGCCCTATGAACATTTGGGAACCACCTGATGATCTCAAAGATGCTCAAGTGGCACTCATTTCATGTGTGGTGCTTTAATTGACATACAAAAGACTCTGTCCTGCGTCACAGTATATAATATACCAGCTGCACAGAGAAGAGTGAAATACCTGCGACGATGGCTGAGTTGCTGATGATGGCTCTGTGACCTGTATGTGCTGCACCTGGATGGCATGCTGCGTGTACGTCTGGGGGTCATGAAGCTGCCCAACATCTACTGTGGAGTGCTGGGACTGGTGAGGTGAGGTAGCCTAGACAGAAAATCAAAGCAGAGGTGTGTATTTTGCATTCTTTGCAGAAGCAGCCATATAAACTTCTGTGACAAGATCTGGAGCAATAAAGTATTTATTGCACTCCTGTGAGACAGAAAAACACACTTAACAGATGCAGTTGCACTGAGGTGGTCACATCCTGGTGGTATCAACAGAAAGGACTTGCCTACGGTTATACAAGTTGTCTGTGGCAGAGCTAGATGTGAACCAAAGGGTCTGAAAAACTGGATTAGTGTCACAACCATTGGACCATCCCTCTGTAAGTATCTGTCCATATAGTACACACAGACTCAAGAACTGCATCTCTTGTACTGTAGTTTGACATAGCTTTGCCTCAGGACAAAGTGTTCAGTTTCACTGATTAAAAGCCTTTTAAAGCAACACCTGTTAATAATAATTAATTTAATTACAAGTCTCAGATCTTGATAAATCTAGTATCAGCTGCAGGAATTTGTGCTCCTGTATTGTATTCGTGCTCTTATGTTGTCAAAACAGCCACGGTCTATGTTAACTGGGGCCATAGTTTAGGCCTTTATCAACCAAATTCATAATTAAATTGGTAATAACTAGGTCAGAGAACACTGAATTTCAGATTCAAATACAAAGACATGGTAGTTTCAGCTTCATCCAGTACCTACTGGATTTGAATGCTGTGGTGATTTCTTATAGTTGCCTGAATATAAATTTTCCTCAGCTCACTTATCCTAGCTACACTCTGTTTTTATTTTTAGGAGGCTGTTGGGCATCACAGAGAATGAATATTCTAATAGATAATACGAATGAAAAAGCAAATGCTTTCTGTACTTCTAAATTTTGGCTCTGGCTCACTGAGAAAAGGAAGTACAAATTAGTCCTCACAACCACAGAAGCAGGTCACCCACTGACCCAGTTTTCAGTTGCTGGAAAGCCAGCCTAGAGAAGACTCGAGTGAAGTTGCCCAGATAGAACTAAATTAGGACTCTGTTGATAAAGTCTTCATCAAAGTGACCAAGACTGATAGGAACATTTATGCCCAGTACACAATGCTTATGATAGAACCTCTATCCACCACCAATCAATTTGTCTACACCACTTTATTTTATTTTTTTAAGTAACCATGCCTTAACAAACCTCCCAGCAATACAGCCCCCAAAAAGCACAAGCTTGGTATGAGAAGGTCAAAAAGCAGATCAAATCCTGCAGCTGGTTACTCACCTGGGCCACTTGAACAACCTGCAGCTGGATATGCTGAGGCTGTTGCAAGCCTGTCGTGGACTGAGACACAGGGATGTACTGGATCCGCTGGTAATCTCCCTGGGGAGTTCGATAGTCTGTTGTAAGGGTCTGGGACAGCTCCGTCATTGCTTGTGTCAGTAAATCTGTTGTCTGCACAGGTAGAAAGATTGAAAGAATATCATCTCATATTGTCTTCTGGACTGAATACCTCTGCAGGGCTGTAATTCTTTCACTGCACTGAATATAACACTTATACCAGGGATCATCTGCTAGTTTTGCTCTACTCTCTAAATGCTACTCAGGATCATCCAGGGTAAACTTAAAATACAATAATCATTTAAAAAAATATTCTGACTTAACATTTTTTGTCTGGGTAACTAAGAGACAACTCTTAGTGCAGGATTTTTGTTACCAAATACAGTACTGCTTCCTCAGACATGCTCCACGTTTCCTTCTCACCTGCCAGAGTGATACTTTTCTTGACAACTGTATTTCTAAAACTTGCAGTAACATTTAATGGGTGAGTCTGCCCACTATCAAGCCAAACAGTCTCTTATCCAATTTCAATCTTTAAATAGGAGTTTTAAATTGTTGCTAATAGGGCTCTTAAAAACTTTGCAGCATCCCAGCATCATTAAAGGACACAAGACTGATTTTCTATTCTCTACGTTCACTTCTGTAGCAGTTGATGCATTAGCAGTGGAGAAATCAACCACTGGAGGTTTACAACACTCAGTACTGCACTGCTCAGAGGATTACAGTAGAATTTTGACTTCTCCGAATGGAGTTTGATCCAGTTCTCTGTCTATCATTGTTTAACATGTCCTTGTGATCATCAGCACCTGAGGAGAACAGCCCCAGTGAAAATCCATGAGATGTGGATTCCTGAGTTAATTGGGCATATGTAAAAGCATTACGTGGAGTCAGTAACACATGTCTGAAAGGAATGGAGAAGGAAAAAATGCAAATCCTTAGAGCTCTAAAAAGAAGTATATAAATCCCAGATGAGCAAAAATACAGCACAAATTCAAGAACAGAAGTGACCTCAAGTAGTGTCCTAACATCTGTGTTTTTAAATGATGTCTGCCAAGAACACTAAGACTACAACCAGAGGGCTTCTGTCCCATTTGTTTTCCTCTGTTGCCTTGATTTAACATCTTCAATCCTTACCACAACAGTCTCTCCGGTAGTGCTGTCAGTGGTTAGAACGGCAGGAGTGGAGCTGATGACAGCTGTCGCCAGCGGGGCATGTATTGTGTTAGGGAGCTGAGCAAACTCCGGGTGCTTCTTGCGAATGTGCTGTACCATCTTCGTCTACAGAGATGCAAAAGAGCATTAGAAAGGTGGTTGGCCTCTCAGCTTCAGGTCAACTGAAATCTAACAGCCACGCGGACTGCAGGTTTTAGGTTTCCCTCAGTAAAACAGCAGGAAGACTCATGCTACACAATTTTCTGGTCAGGAAAAAGGAAACAAAGATCACAAAAATTCTGTTGATTAGAGCTATCTGATACTGAAACACTGCCTCAAAAGAACCCATGGGCTTTTTTTAACCCCAACATAGCTAAATATTTTGGGGTCACTTCCCCCCCCCCAATTTTGTTTCCTTACCCTTCTCCCTTGCAACTAACAAGTGAGTAGTTTCCAAGCTTTTCTGTTCGTGACCACATACTGGCAGCATTTACATTTCTTCTTTCAAGCTCATGTCCTCTATTTATGGAACCTTTTTGCCATAAAGCTAGCAGGCTGTGCCTGCATTGTCAATACACAGCATGAAACCAGCACTGTGGCTCAGAATAAAAGAGCTTTGCTTGCAGACTGACAGATTACAAAGACCAAGGTGAAAGAGCATCGCCAGGGAGAGGCTGTGCTTCGAGGCTAGGAGATGACCCCCGTACCTTACTGCTGTACTGTTTGGAACAATGAGGACAGCAGACCGGAGGGGTGGCTATAGTGCCTGTCAGCTGAGTGTGGGTGCTCAGCATGGGATCTGGCTCTCCTGGGCCTGCAGGGCGCAGCTTCCGGATGCTTGGAGGTAGCTCAGCACCAGGATGGTTCTTCAGGATATGTGCTTTGCGTTTGCTGGCACTTTTGTACACCTGCAGGGTGAAAGTTTGGAATGGAAATGGTATAAGCCCAAGGTCAGCACAGAAAACAGATACCAGCTGTCTTCACCTGGAAGGTTTGCATGTTGCTTTAGACAGTATGCTTAGTTGAAACCCCAAATAATTACAACATCATGCATGGATAGACATACACATTTTAGTGTTTAATCAGCCTATAAAAGCAACTACTTGTGTAGGACGCAGAAGCTATTTGAGAACATGCTGTATGCCAGAACAAAGCATCACAGCAGGACAGGAAGTGAAAGGAAGACCTTTCTAGTTCATTATTGAAGTGCAAATGTCAGGGAAGCCACTGGTAAAAGTTGTAATTTGTCATGAAGGGTGATGCATCCACTCTTGCATGAAGCATTAAATTGCTTTAATAGCATTCAGTAATTGAAATATTTTTTTATAACAACTTCTTTGGCACAAACAAAATAATATGCTATAGCATTATTTAAAAACTATCTTTTTATTCCCCTTTGAACAAAAGGAAGGAGTCATCACTGAAGAATGTATTAAGGATAAGAACAGTCAGTCAAAATATATTTCCTGGTAAATAAAGGCCCACATACATAAAAAGCAAAAGGCCAGAGAGTAAGAACAGAAACCAAAGTGCAGAAGAAGCTTCAGGCTCTACTGAACACTGGGAATTACTGGCATGTGACTGAGTAAGCTGCTTAAAATAAAAAGGAGTTACAGACTCATTTTTAGAAGTGATATAGAAACCAGAAAAAAAAAAAAAAAAAAAAAACACAACAGTGCTCAGGAATTATAGCTAGGTAGGATACTTAGTCCTGTGTTGCAAAAAGTGATACAAGACTAAGGGCAGGTCACTGCTTGCTGGATCAGAGTATTTACATTTTACCTACTCCGAACACAGCAACCACAGGAGGACAGCAATTTTCTATTAGTATTCAGATGTCTTGGCCTAAGTGCATTTCATCCCAATTTCTTTTGGACAGTGCTTGCAGGAAAGTTGTTTGCAAGCTCCTCAGAAGAGCTGCAAACCCTGCCAGATGTTGCTATGCAGAGACAAATTGCCTGTATAGGGGTCTAGGACTGAGCTACCCTCTGAGGGCTGACTTCCTTACATACCTTATCACAGTACTGACAGAAATAATCTCTGTTGGGTTTGATGATGGGCAACGTGAGCTCTGGCACCTCTTCTATTTTCATGTCTGGATGTCTCTTTGATAAATGATTCACCTTAGGAGAAAGAAACAAAAGAACAAGAGAGCATATTACATCTGGAAGCTAAACAATTGCTCCTTCTCCTAGACATGGATAACTGCCAAACCAAAACTGTAGTGATGCTAGCCAGAAGCACCAGAAGCATTTTCTGTTGCAAGAGTTATTGTGCATTCACAATCAGCTACTGAAGGTAAACATGGCCTTGCTAGATCTCATTTACACTCTCCGACTAAGATGGTAAGGGGTAAAGTAACTTGTCAGAAACCTCACGTAGCTGAGAACAAGGTAATGCAAAGGACCTCTGCTAGGAGAGATTACAACCCTCATAAAATATGCAGCAGGACATCTTATTGCAAACACCCTGCCACAGTGGCGATTGCAGAGCTTGGCCAGCAGAGGCCCCACTCGAGAAGGAGGAAAGGACAGGGAAGACCATCATGAAAGCTGTGAGGCAGTTAAGGCTGAGCTATGCAATATATTAATCACGTATTCTGTTAAATGTATTACAAATCAATCAACATTACACAGTGCTGAGATATGGTGGTGACAAGCTGACATACAAGACAGACAATGAAATACACAAATGCACACATTTGCTGAGGAGGGATGTACAGGTTTAAAGAAGATGCAGAATCTCAAACCAGCTACAGAATTATCCCCGTTTCACAGCATCCTCATGTCTCAGCCATTGGAATTACACCTTTATTCCTCAACTATTCAGATGTGAGTACAGAATTTGTGAGAGAAGCTAGAGCACATGGACACTCACCAACATTCCCCTCCGGCGGAAACCCATCATACACAGTCGGCACTTGAACATGAAGCTTTCATAGTCAGTGGAAGCTATGCGAGGCTTGAAAGTTTTGGAGCGGCTGATTCGGTCAGCTTTCTTGGCCTCCCTTTCTGGGTTGTGCATCCTCTGCATGTGCTCTCGCAGTTTGTCTTTCCTCTAAGGGAAGACCAATCACAGGGAATAAATAACAGTAGTAACAGCACCGCTTACTGCTACAAGCAGGAGTTAGGATGTAAGCTGTTCAGACCTCTCTTTGGCTTCTCCTCTCCAGGGCTGCTGATAGAGCTGCATGCACTGGACAGCACTGCTGGAACCCTTTGGGGCTTACGTTTATCACTGAAAAGAAGCTGAGGTTGCTCAGCCACAAAAGCAGAAGCCAAGCTAATGCTAACTTAGCGGCTTCAGTAAGAATGAACCCCTCCACTTTGGCTTTTCTCTGAATTAATCTAAAATATTATATTCTAGTTGTAATTCTGTATGCCTAGAAACTTGCATCGCTTAATGCTCTCTGATGATGGATGGCCTCATGCCCCACAATGGTACTGAGCCTGTCCAGATGTTACCCTGCCTGTCTGGGCACATGCTGAGTCCACAGCTTCTTCACCAAAAGTCCCTTAGTTCCTCATGGGAAACTAAGTTAGCAAGAAGAGGCTGCTGCCACCACGGTTTACGTGGCTCAGCCTGCTCCGTCTGTTCTGGAGAGATCTGGAAAGATGTTATGTGCTGGCAAGATGCATTCCATGGACACAGGCACCTCAGCCATGAATATTATTAATCCGTTGATATCAGTAAGTTTTCTTAGCTAACTTGATAGAAGCAATACAACACAAGCACTTGGCAATTGAGCTGTGTAATGAGCCAGTTCTTAATGAGAAGATGAAACTGCCTTTGCTATTAAATTAACTTATTAGAAATAAGATCTGATACATGAGCCACCCTATTAGGGCAGAGCATGCTGGGCTGGATCTTGCCCCTTTTCTATCAGAAAGGTATGTTGTTAATCTCCCACTACACAAAGCAGTGCACCTTGCAGGAACGTCTAGCATGTTTACACATGGGTTTCTTCCACCTCTGAGAGAATGACCTTATCTTTGAAAGGGGGGCAAAGAATGTCATTCTGCACCTGTATCAGGAATGATCCAGTCAAGAGTCATCTCACCTTGAACTGCTTGCCACACGTGGAGCACAGGAAGTCTTTGCGGTCTGAGTGTCGCAACATATGGAGGCGCAGCTTGTCGGGACGGCAGAAAGCCTTGTCACATTCTGTGCACTGATAAATCTTTTCTGAATGGAAACTGCGTACGTGTTTCTTGACCTAGAATTGCAGATCACAGAATAATGGAATTTATTCAAAAAATAAAAATAAAAAAATGCAAGTGTGTGTGGGAACAGGTAACAGTCTCAGACATCCTTACAGAAAAAATAAAAAAGGGTTCTAAGAGTTCTCTAATCTGTTCTGGCTTTAAAAAAGTTGAAGTTTATCAGAGCAGCTGATATCTTGGTGATACTTTCTATAAAGCCATGACATCTCCTATGCATCTGGATAGACAATTTAATTTCCTCAGGACTGATTCTTGAAGGCATCAGCTATTGCACAGTTGAGTATTCAATGGGCAGCAAAAGTCCATGATGTACTGGTTGTACTGAATCATCCTTGAGTTAACATGTTCATATAAGGTTCATTATCTTTACTTCATTTGTAAGAAATCCAAGTGCAGAGACTAATTCCTTTCAGTCAGGAAGAATGAGCTGTCAATTACAATTGGCAAAAAAGCAAGCCAAGAGAAAAGCATTTGTAAAGGATTCCTGAATGGCAATTACTTTTGCATACTTTGGGACTACTCTTGACCTCTTGAAGCATGCAGGTTTTTTTTCTTCTTCAATAAAATAACTAATGAGGTTTGACATATGAAATCCAAGCACTATTCAAGAATTGGATTTCCAATGAAATCTTTATTATCTTTTAATGCTGATCATGCAAGGAACAACTCTGTTGCTCAGAGAAGCATTTAAGAAGTAGGCGGTGATCTATGGTGACTAGACTTAATTATTCATGTAACACCAAATGAAAAATTCATCTTTAAGTTTCAAAACAAGGCCAAATAACTGGAAAAAGCTGTGCAACCTTCTGACTTGGTCAATTTCACAGGAAAGTTTAAGGCGAATTAGGCTGCAGAAAAGCATTTCTGAATCATCAACATTTTTCCTTGTTCAACATTTACAGAAGATGAAGTTTCTTTGCAGTGATGGAATTATATTAGTAAACCACTTTTCCCCATCCTTTCATCTCTAGCCTATCAAACGTTCTATCAGTTCCTATTACTTGACATAAACTAGATTTCTACATTTCAATTTAAGTCAAGCAGCTCAGCAAGACATATGGACCTCTTTGTCCATATGAAGTATAACGACCGTGTGCACAGTACATCTCAGGTTTTTTTTTTCCTTACCAACCATTAAAATAACATACTTAAATTCTATTGATGGTCTTCTCCAATGGCTCTGCACAATGCTCAAAGTATGTACATTACTCACTACTCCACCACCACCTCTACTAAGCATCATGCAGAGAATGGGAAGAATAAACTACCCAGCCTGAGGGGCAACTCAGGAGGCAGACTGTACTGATCTGCCCTGGCATTTCTGCAAGGTTTTTCAAATGAATTACCCTGGCAAAAACAGTCAAGGGATGAAAAAATATTTGTAACATGCAACACCATGTGTTTTTTTTGTTGTTGTTGTCATCATTTTTTGATGCAGAGTTTTAACAAAAAGGACAAGGTGTATTTAAGTTGCATCCAGCAAAATACAATTCTTTTTGTGCTCTGGATCTGTGCTGACTAACAGGTAGTTGAGACCTCTTTCTTTAGAGATTTTCAGGGGATAAGGGGCTTCCAGCAGCACAGAGCATTCTAATGCATGCTGAAATACCACATCTAATGATTCAGTGGAAAAAGCATTTTAACAGCATAAAACAACATCTAGCAATGCTTGGTCACTCTTCCTAATTTTGGAAGACATGGGCCCCTTTATTTTGTACAGACATGTACAGCACAGACATGCTGTACTATACAAAAACAGTACTGAAAAATTCTTAAACAGAGTGGCTTGCATGAAACCCAACGAGCAAGACTTTAAATCAGGATGGCATCTCACCTGGATAAAATCTGGAAAGCGCTTTTTGCAGGTAGGGCAGTTGAAATATCCATCAGTAACGTGGATGGCCACATGATCTTTAAGCAGATCCAAGCGGTCAAAGGACTCAGGACAGAAAATGCAGGAGTACGTTTTCTGGTCCATGTGGAACTTCATGTGGCTCTCAAGAGCACCACTGTTGATGAAGCCCTTGTTGCAGATGTCACAAGTCAAAGGGCAGTTCCCCTCCCGTCCATGAAACCGCAAGTGCTGATCCAGTTTGTCCTTTTCCCGGAACGCCTTCCCACACTGCAGGCATTTGAACGGGCGAAAGGATTTCCGGATAAACAGGTGCTGAAGAGCTGCATTCTGAAAGAAACAGAGTCCATCAATGTTTAGTATTACGGACAGAACCCACAGACAAATATTTCAAGATAAAATACAGAAGATCAGTGAACTTAAACTTCAGAAAACACTTCTGAGTTAGTCACCACTTCACAGAAGAGGAGGCTGTGATGGACTGAAGTTAAAGGCCATACCTGCAGTTGTGCACCAACTTAGGACAACAGAATGCCAAAGTTCCCTCTTCTGTCCCTCTTTCCTGCTGACTTAGCTAACCTTTGTCTTTAGCATGGCATTCTTCTGTAAAATAAAACTAAATCCTCGCCAAACTACAGACCTTGGCTTGAGAAGAGAGCTGCAGTTCCAGCTCATTTTTCAGGATTGGGCCACGGTTCAGCCACCATCCTATTGCTCTGCCTTTCACGCAGGAGCAGGGCTTATGAAATTCGACAGCCCGTTACAAAATCAGCTTCTGCAGAGATCACCACAGAGATGTGCAGCAGTGGTTTAGCATTGCCTAGTAAACTTCTTGTGGAATACACATTCGAGAGGTGCTGGCCTAAACCTTTTTGCTGTTATTGAAACAATTGGTTTCAAAACATTACAGCAGGGGCAGAATGGCAGATTTACAAGCAACAGGTAGGAACTTGTGAGCAGTTTGTACTTCTTTGCCATTTAGTATCTATCATGTGTGAGAGCCTGAAAATGAAGAAGATGAAAGAAAAAACACACAGTGCTAAATCAAGAGAAAATCCAATAGATTTTGTTGGCTACTCAAAAGGGTAGTTGATTATACACAGTCAAACTTGAAATTGCTTTTCTTGGTATTGCAAGAAACTAAGAATATTGTGAATTGAGCATAATGCGAGTTGTGCAAATATCCATTTGAAGATTTAATACACTAGGCTGCTCTTCTCTTTCTCTGCACTTTTATACCATATGCAATTTCGCTTCCCAATCCCTGCTTTGTTTTGGTGTATGGTTTTCTGCAAAAATTCATTATTCCTCTTCCCTCCTCCCCCCCCCCCACTTTAGATTAATGCAATGGAGCCATTCCAGTCCCAGTATCAGAGCTGTGAACAGCTAGTGATGGACGTGCTGGCTACAGAAATAGGTGAGGGTGTTCTGGGCCTGCATATCAATATTGGATGATAACCTAAGCTGGTAAATTGCAAAGCTTGAAGTAAATCGTATGCCTGGATGCATGAAATATCACAGCAGACTGTCACCCATATGGTATGGAAAAGAGACCACGATACTGCTATTTCTCTGCAAGAAATCTAAGGAGCATTTACTCTTCTGCAAAGTAAGATCTACACCCTGTCATTTACTGATGTCTCCTCTGTTCAGATGTTATACACAGGATCTGCAGCATGATAGTTAGGAGAAATAGTGCTAGAATATTGCTGGCACCTATGCTTACACACATTCAGCATTACATACTTCTGCATGAGACACAGTCAAGACTACTGCAAACAGATTTCCCTGGTTTCCTCTCTCCTTTTCTTGTGGGAATGCCTGGGCTGCCATTTGCTGTGTCCCCTAAGTCTGCACCAGCAGCTGACATTGAAAAAGTCAAGTTAGGAGCTCCTCTGCTGTGATGAGGAAACAGCTTGGGAATACTGTGAAATGCTGTGCTAGAGATTAAATTAGTGAACCTGAATAATCCTTTTTACCATGTGAACAGCAGAGGTAAACCTATATTTCCATTCCAGGAAAAGGAACATGATAGCAACTGTTTTACTATCAAAGACCAAAAAAATGCAAGCAGTTTCAGACAGGAGAGCTAAATGAACCCTTCCAGACATCTCCATTTTACAGATGACGAAATGGAGACAATGGGAAACACAGGGGTCTGCTGGAAGTGACACCAGACACTTGCAATATGGAAACATCCACCTTCAATTTGCAATTAGTTAATATGAAAATGACTAGAAAAATATGAATTGTTATTCAGGTAACAGTTCTGGACATTGGTTGCTTAAAGAAGGACAGATAAGACAACTGATGATGTGTGGGGTCAGTCAGGAGACACTACACAGAAGCTGCACAAAACATGGATGGCAATGTTGTTACGTACCATTTGATTAGATACAGCAACAAAAACCACACAATGAAACCAAAAACAAACCTACCTGCAGCTCCAGCTGAGCAGGCAGCATTGAGGGAGAGAAAAATACTTATGTTACGCAATGGACTTTAAAACAGAAGCCTTGACTTCTGCAGCAGTCCTGCTTCTGTGGGTCACTATGAGGGCCAGCTCTTCAAGCTAGAGTTTTCTCTCCATTGAGATTTTAGCCTTAGGAAACACTAAACAGATCTTCAAAGTTTACCCTATAGTTAATAACTGCCCAAGAGGAGTTAAAGGGCAAAGATAAAAAGCACAGATAGTCTTGAAGGTGTTTTGTGTCCTTTTATGTTTTCTCAGATTCAGAGTTGATGATAGTGATGTAATGTGTACTGTGGAGCCACAGTGAGAATGAAATGCTTTTAGCAAAAGGGAATAGTTAGGGCAGGATGACAATGAGACAAGGATTAGAAGGGTGGAAAGTTGAGGCATGGGGACTTTTTGAACCTCATCTTACTGATTGTACTCTTCGTTACGCAACCTGTTACATTTCTTCTCTCAGAAAGAAGGAAATGACTGTACCTTCCAAATCATATCCCTATCATGCCAGTTGCTTCCTCTGAATAAAGCAGACACCTACATGAAGGACATGTTAGGATCAGGTCCGTGTGTTAAAAAAAAAAAAAAAAGCCATTTGGAAATGCAGGTGTTTCTGAGATCAGCCCGTAAGTACTCTGCATGCTGCCCAGAGCTGAAATTAAAAATACATATATATTCCTTTTGGCTGCAGACAACAACGCAGCTCTATTTTCTTACAGAATTTGGGTAGGCGTATCTCTTTTCAATACTAAGGAAGGACTGCCATACTTAAGGTCAGATCTCTAAGGAAACTCCACAGGCTCTAAAGCAGAGGCTGAAAAATGAACTGATCCTATCAGGACTTGAACCTAGGGCACCAGAGCTCAGTACTTCCAGCTAGAATGAAAGCACTCTCAGAACATCACTGCCTTAAACCCTAGAAAAGCTGAAGCAATTCACAAAGGATCATTATTTCTGAAATTGCAATGCTGCATGAGTCATAAGGAAGAACTAGAGCTACACAGGTCTCCAGATCATAAGCAACAGTCAAGACTTTCTACCTGTTCTTTGGAAATTAATGACATACTACGCTCTTATAAAACCAAGTATTTGCTCTTTTATAATACTATGTTCATGCTATTTTAAGAAGGTGCTGTGAATAGTTGGATAGAATGAGCATGTATAGGGTGCCAGAGCTCGATGTGATTTTTCAGTGGTTAAAAAGTAATGCAGCTAGTTTACTGTTTTCTCAAACTCCTGTTGCTCAGCCTGATGCAATGTGGAAAGGTGCTATGCAACCACCCATATGCCATTCTGCCAATGCCCCTATCTTGAAACATCTCCAGGACTCTGCTGTACTCAAGCTGCTGCATGTATAGAAAGCTGGGGAGATTTGATGATAAAAACATGTTACTTAGGACTAAACCACCACTGCACTCCTCTTATTTGTGATACATTTGTGTAAGTTTTCAGGGAACAAAAGCTAAGCCACAAAACAAAGAAGTAACTTCAGAATTTATTTCCTTTTCTTCCTACATTTACTGTTTGCCAAAATCTTCCCTCTGTATTTATGGGGCACCATCACCACTGGTCTTGCACACATACTGCTGTAAACTGAGATCAAAATTTGGCTGAGCATCTTCCTATACAGAACAGTTACTCAACTCTTTTCTAATCCTTTCTCATCCCCTAAAAGCAAAAGTCTTACCCCAATTGCAGCTGTTCCTTTCTCTAATCAAAATTTTACACATGGAAGACAGACAAAGATTTTCGGCTAAATAAACCAATCTCACAGTTACATGGCTTGAAGGATTATTTGCTTGAATCATTTCCCTCCCACGCACAGCAGAGAAAAAACAGCTCACCCAGTTGACACAAAGCTCAGGTTTGAAGCATTTGCTGTCTGTACACAAAGTTGTTAGCTTAGGTTTTAATCTCACAAACAGGCAGGTTTGCTACCCCAAGAAAGTATTTTATCACTATCATCATCAAGTAAGTGGATCTAAACAGAGGTCGTGGTTCCTCTTTGGCAACTATTTGCAAGCCAGGAGTTCTGAGAGAGACAGATGGTGCTGTGAACAAGTCATTAGTCTGTGCCACAGTACCATGATCCAGCCGGCTGTTTGAAGCGCTCCTGCTTGCCAGCTCGGATGGACTGTGCTCCTGTGAAAGAATTACTGTGTTGGAATTGAATCAGCTCCAATTGGTGACCAGTTCTCGATAGCATCTGATGAGATACCCGTTCTGCACATGATATTTGTCTTACTCTCAGAAGAAAGAAGTTTGCTAGGAATGAGATGCTTTATTGAGGACTCGGAAATGGATACTACAGTGGGAAAAAGGGACCAGCTGCTCCTTGCAGGCAGGTCCAGCATCCTGTGCATTACAGTATGTGGAGAGGGTGAGAGAAGACATGAGCTGCCATCCTCTCTGCTTACCCTGATACGCTTTGCTCGCCTCATGTCATCTGCTGTCATGGTGCTCTGCGTAGGCACCGTGCTCTCATCGTGCTGCGGCTGGATCTGTAGTGGGTGGTTTTCTGACTGCTGCTCCAGTGCCGACTGTGTCTCGGATGGCACTGGAGTCTGTTCCTGCTGCTCCAACCCATTCAGTGTTGCTTGTCCGGCCTCATCAAACTGCCCCTTGCTGGAAAAATGCAGCAAGTCCTGAAATCGCAAATCATACAACCAGTGATTATTCCCCCCACCCACTGAAAAATGCTTTGATATTACTCAGCAGACAACCAGATTTCTACATAATCACAAGCTATAAACAAAATGTGTCTACGCTAACTCTTTGCTAATGTGTTCCTTTGATGCTCTCAGCAGTTCCCCTCCACCTACAGCAACAACATTCAGAGCACTGGGGAAGAAGTGCTGCAGGTAGGTGACTTTTTTGGCCATCGTATTATCCACAGCTGATCAGACACGGACAATCAAAAAGACCCAACTGTTAATAGCCAAGCAAACTCTTCTGCACTAGTGACTCCATTACTGCTTTAATCAAAGATGATGTAGGCTGACCTGTAAGAAATTTTAAGACCAAAGTGAGTAGCACAGATCGGGCCTCCAGGAAAAGCAGAGAAATTCTGTCTTGTTGAGATTGTTGACATTTTGAAACATTATCATGTATTGATATGCAGTGTCTCTCCTTTCTAGAAAACTAGCTGGAATGATGAACTGGAGAGTGACAAACGAGATCATTATACTGTGCAGTGTGTTTTACTATCCAGTTTCCAAGCTCTGCATACTCTCATCTATCCAGCTGCATACATTACTTATGTTTATCACACAAAGCTGTTTTCCTCCTCCTTAACATTATCATAAAAAGAGGGAGGGTGTTAGGAGCAGGAAGTACACGCCACAATCTACATTTGTTTTCCTTATAAATTCTAGTAACTCCTCCAGGACGTATGCCTCCAGTATTTGAAGGAAAAAAACATAGATCCTTACGTGAAGTCACTTACAATGCAACTAAGGAAACTTAAAAGCACAAGCTACAAACACAGAGCACCAAAAGTATCAGCTCAGCGCTGGTGCTGTCAAAATGCAGAGGCAGGCAAGGGAGAAGAAAACCAGTGAGATGCCAGAGGAGTGCAGCTGTTACAAACCATGAACACTTACCAGACAGAGAGACTTAGCAGAGCAGTATACTATTCAGAGTCCAGTTCTGGTCTAAGTGGTAAATTTCCTCACTTGCTGACACTAAACTGTGGTCATGACATCTCAAATCTCAAGTTCTCAGGCAGATGAGCTTGTGCCTAGTCATTAGCAAAATGGGCAGACCTCCAAAGACCTGGGACATAACCATTTCCCTGCTCAACTGTATAGACACACGTGAGCTAACTCTGGGCCATGCTCCAAGCTCGGAGGATGCGAGCCACCTCCAGCCCAGAGGCCACTCACACCCATTAGCGTGGGACCGTGCCCAATAAGCCTTGTCTCTCTGGAGAGAAGAGTTACAACGCAGCATTATGTTTACTTGCCTAAATGGAGCTGATTTGTGGTTCAATTTGCAAAGAGGGTGACGTCGTCTGCAACTGTCTGCATTTAATGTCAGATTTAGGGCAATACTGCATGCTCAGAAAACAAACAGCAGGCACTCACAGGCAATGTATACATTCCTTCCTCTGAGTCAGCACTGAACCATGACCTAGTGAGATGCCAGAGGAAAATTACCACTCTGGTTATCAGCTTTCAGCTAAGTCATAAAGCTGAGCCATTGATTCCTTGTGACACCTTTCATAAAAGGACTTGGTGGTAACCCTAAGCCTGGTCAGCATTAGACAGACTTTAGCATTTTACTTATGCCCATGCATCGCATTAGGTCCCTATAGAATATATAAAGCAGTCAAAACCAACCATAACCAACTTACTGTAAAAGAAGTTTTTGTAATAACTATGCCTACAGAAGGACCTTTTGTTAATATTAAAACATTATAAAGAATCATAGCTCAAACTGATTTAATTCTACCAGCAACAGCTATAAGAGCAGGCTCTGACTTCGTGTTCCAGAAAGGACAAATGTGAACCTAAATTCCCATTACGGTTTTATTGTCTAAATTACTTCTGTGATGCTGCTAAACAGCCGCAATAACCTATCTCACTGCTAAGTGCTTTGGGATAAAAGTTGCTGTAGAAATGGAAGAGATTTTACAAACTTTAGAGATGGAAAGTAGCGTGTTCCCCTGGCAAAGAATCACAGCTAGGAAAAACAAGATTTACTTAGGGATAAAGCAGAATACCCTCAATGATGCCCCAATTTTTTCTCACTGGAATTTTATAACCCACGATATCTTTTTTTTTCTTCTCCTTTCCATCTCCCAAATATACCTGTGTTCCTTCTTCACACTTTTCTCCATTTTCACTGGTTACTTCCATACGCATGAATTTGGGAGGGCGCCCTGGGCGTCTGCCTGGTCCAAACCTCCTCTTTCCTCGCCCACGACCTCTGCCTCTGGCTCTGCAGAACACAGTGTGCTCCAGGTTAGAGACAAAAAGAGATGAATTTGGAATCCCCACTCGTTTTATTCTTTCTTTCTCAGCAACTGTTATTTACCCATTCAACTCAGTAACAATGGCCTGCAGTAAATAATAAAACTTGAAGAAATTCTGGCCAAAAAAAAAAGTGTATTGGTTGGTACTTATTTATGTTGCACTCTGAGAAATCAAAGCCCAGAACACATTAAAATTGTGGGACCAAAAGGACTACTGCCTTCTAGCAAGTCCTCAGCCATGGCAACTCTCCTACTTCAACACCCCAGTGTACAGTGTGCTGAAAAGCACTTTCAGGTAGATGGAACAAGTGCACAAAGAAACCAATTTAAAACCTGAAGCCATAACATGCCTCCCAAAAAAGGCACTTAGCCACTGATGTCAGACAGTAAACTAAAGGGAACAGCGTTGTGTAAAGGAAAACAAAAGCAACAACAAAAAAAGCAGCCACTTGCTAAGTTTCAGGAAAAAGAAGGAACCAATGTCTCCTCCCTGAAAGATGTTTCTAGATTCAGCTTTTAATAGGTTGGGGTAACTATCTTCTCAGTTCAGTGGGGAGCCAAAGCACTAGATGTCTCACTCTCTGAGCTCTGCATCTGGGTACATCAGAGAACCATCAGTATTTCACTAGTTAGAATGAAATACTGCAGTTAAGTCTGGGGGGAAAAAAAAAACAAAACAAAACCCAGGAAACTCACTAATTTCAAATGGGGGTATTTATTTTCTTCAAACTATTTCTTTTGTGAAGCCCCTTACACCAGTCAGCTTCCTGGTGTCATGTTCTCACCTTCTGGTGCTGAGCCATTCTCTCATGTATCTCCAAGTTGGTTAGTAAGATCTGTAGGGCAAAAACCCTTCCTTCTGCAAATTTTGCGAAGCACCTACAGTGATGTAAAGACAAAGGTAAAGCTCTCAGTACCTGCTGAAGAAGTCCAGCTTCTCATCATGGGAGTTAAGGTGCTGCTGGAGTTGCTCTGAGCTCATGAAGCGACGGTTGCACTCGTAACACGGCCAGTTCTTCTCTTGCTCTCTGAGAACTATGTTCCATTGAAATGTCAGTAACAGCATTTCAGTCACCACCAATTAAACACTTCATTTTTTTCCCCAAGCATTTCTATCCTCTGTGGGCCATATTCCTCCCCGGAAGGTAAGACAGACTGCAGAATACCCAGCACAACTCCATTTAGCTTTGCTTTTAACCCCCCTGCACTGTAACATGATTGCAGCTCATTGTAGAAATACAAAAAGGTCACTGGGGAAAATTCACATGGACTCCATATGCTGCTTGAAAATCAAGAAGATTTTGAAGTAAACCCTTATCTGGAAGAGCTCCTACAGAACTGTGTGGCTCTGGTATAAGCTAGGTGAGGAATTTCTTAATCTAAAGCAGTAGCACAGAAACACACTTCTTTCCAGCAGCATATAGGCCCTGTCACTTGAAACCAAGAAATCCAACACCTGAGCACCATTATACCAGAAATGCAGAAAGCAGAAAAGCTTATTACCCTTCCTTTCCTCCTCAGATATGTCGTGGATCTTCTGGTTCACAAATTCTGCGTACGAGGCAGCATACCACACCTGCAGCAGGAGAGACAAGGTAACGTAATGCTTTCTTAGATGGAACAAGAACTAAGAGGAATGTGTTTGTCAACATTTTTTAGGCAACACATTTACTTTATTCACCTCAACTCTTATTCTTATTGCTCCTTTCATTCTCGATAATAAAGCCTGTTGAGATCAATATACCCCTGCTGATGAATAGAAGAGCTTTGCTTAGAAAGCATATCCATTTAATTTTAAGGTATAGCCTCCTAATATGAATGTTAATCTCACACATGGCTACCAGTAGTTCTAAAGGAAATGAGATTAATCTCTTTAGATCTGACTGTATGACTGTAAAGCACGGATGCCAACAAGGCGCTATAACTTGAGAGGGCAGTTGTACCACAAGGAATGGAGCAATTCTAAATTGAGGGGATTTCCCAATTCTTTTCTGCTCTCTTTAAACAGACAACAGGCAGCACGGTCTGCAGAGACTCATGTGAGGTGTTCCTTAACTTCCAAAAGACTGGAGCAATACAGTCCTGCTTCCCAGAACAGAGGACTGACTGCCAGGCTGCAGCATGCTGGACCCACTTGCATTTTAAGAGCAATTTCGGGAACCTTTAGCAGAGACCAACACAAGCGAGAAAGACAAAGGTTACTGAAGCCTAAATTCAGACAGTTACATTTAACTACGAATTTTTGCATCATTTCTCGTCTTATCTTACTGTCTTATTATAAAGACTGAATTTTGAAAGAGATTTTTTCAAGAAGGCATTACCAGGTTTTCAGCATGAGAAACCTGGGCAAGTTTAAACTTGGAGTGGGCCACGGGTGTTTTCACAGCAGTGGTGAGAGCAACACTTCTAACTCCTTCCAAGACTCACTCAGCAGGTATGTGTTACCTTGCAGCCATCTCACTAGCAGGACAAAGGTGGAAGCCTGGAGCTCCTCAACTACTCACCTGACACGCAATGCACAAGTTTCCACAACTGCCTGATCCTCCTAGTTCAATCTTTGGACTGAATTTGTATCAACGCCTTATATCCACTTAGCGAGGAAAACACACTGTAGAGCCTGGGTAATTTGCTGTCAATTATCAAACTGATTTTACCCCAAAAGACATTACTAACACATGGAGCAAGAAAAATGGTGCTTCTACAGGCAGGTCTGTACAGATTTAATTAAGGTCTGATTTCAAATTGATTAAAGAATAGTTGAAAAACGATGCTTGGATATACTTAAAATGGATAAACAAGGTTCCTAGTGATTCAGTTTAAACAAATTGAAGACTGATTTCAGGGGAGGAAAAAAGATCCTACTCTTAAAAAAAATCAGCAACAAGTGTGTAACCAGGATTCTAGTATAGCTAAGTGTGTTCAAAACTTTTCTTTTTTTGTTAAATTGTTGTTCTTCAAATGTTTTTTTCTTGTATGTAAATTCCAATATTTTATTTATTATTTTTTTTCTGTTCCTCCTCTCCCACCCCCCCTGCTCCAGTTCCCTGGATGTTAAAAACGAAGGCCATCTAAACCAGCCATGCTGCTTTGAGCTGAAAGTAATCAATACATTTTTAGAGGGAACAAAAAGTAACTCACAGAGAAGTCACAACATCCATTATCATTTTCCACATGCAAAGTTTCAAAAGTTCCAGGAAAGCCAGGTAAAGTGAAAGACCACATTCACTTAAGGCACCAGAAAACATGTCAAGGGCACATAGGACTAACTGGAAAGGGCATCCAGAACTAAAAAGAATAAGACTACTGTAATAAAAATTAGATTGCATCAGCAAAATATATGCAGTGTAAAGCATGACAGTGACAAGCAAATCATTTACATACTCTTATTTTAAGCTTCCTCATTTTATATCTGAGCCAAAGCTCATTTAAAATCCGTAACTGGCTGACTACTGACTTCAGTGACATTTGATTCAGGCCACCATGTGCTTTATCAGATGAAAAAGACCTAAAAAATTGCTCCAACTATTAACAGCAATCATTTCTGACACTTGGAAGTGCACTTATTACGGAATCAATCTCAGAGTTGCTACATCAGTAGAAAAATAAGTCTGAAAACATGAGCAATGCCATACCTTGAGTTCCTGTTTGGGCTCCACATTTTTAATGGTTGTGTAATAAATATGGTGGCCGTACTGATACGCAACCAGGTTCTGCTCCAAATGGTTTTGAGCTGGACGCACAAACATCATCCAGTTACAAAGAGCCTCACTAGAAAGTTCAAACCACAGGTCCTCTTGCAAATCTCTGTCTTTTCTGTCACCCTTATCAAGAGACACCTGTAATAAAATCCCATTACATATGACTAACTTTTTGGCAGCAGGTTCAAAAGATTTTGAGTTTCAAAAAAACCCACTATGACTACACAACTTTTACATTAGGAAAGCGATGAAGGCATAGATTTTCTCTTTACTAATGGGGATCCAGAAACAGGCAGCACACAGGAAAATAATTTAAAACAGGTAATGATTTAACTAGAGAGGCACAGCGTACCCTTCCATGGCTTTCACGAGCAAGAAGCACTCATTAAAAGGGTCATGCACAGTACTTGACGTATGACTATAACTGAGGCACAAGGAGCTGAAGCTTCAGCAGGCTACACGGCATCTGTTGTCAGATGTTTCTAACTGACTCACCCACTTCTCCCTGTATTCCCTGACTCACAATGCCTCAAGCTGGAAGAAGCACTTCTTTAGATGAACTTTTGTTTGGTTACCAAATCTGCCCGTTGTCCTTCTTGGACACTGACCACCATGGAGACTAGTGCTCTTAAGACTGTGGACCTTATCTCCTGCAAGCAATGGACTAACTCCTATACTCCAGCCAGTAAATATATGGCTGGAAGTTACTTAAGTCCGTTTACCTCATGCCAATAGACTTGGCAAGGGGAGTGGGAGAGAGAAAATCTCTTCTCCCCCACATCCTGTGGGAGGAAGGAGGGAAAGGGGAAGAAAAAAAATATTTTTAACTTAAGTTACGGCATGACGCAAAATAATGGCTGCAAAACATCCTCAAGACTATTTTTGCCTACTGCTATTTTTATGTCCAGATGCTGCTTCAGCCTATGTGAGAGTGATTCACAGCATTTCGTATTTCATATCATGAGGCCCATACATCACAACACCATAATGCTGGAATATTCACCATGATTATTGCATCTCCATGGATAGCAGAGCAGACTTGGAGTAAAGCAAGCTGGATACTTCCGAATTACATTCAGAGATGAAGTAACAGAAGAACATCTCTGATGAACTAACTGATCACAATCAGAGGCACAGATTTAAATCCATGGAAATATAAGTTTAAACACAAATTCCTCCCTCCTCCTCACACCCCCCCTTACCTTCAGATGGATATAGCAGTCTTTGAGTTCGGTTTGTCTAACCAGAGGTCCTTCCACAGGTCCAAACTGCGTGCGTTTGGGGATACGCCTTTTGGAGAACACACCTCCCAAAAACCTGTCTATATAGAGCACCAAGGGGAGGCTGGCTCTTGCCTTAGTCAGCACGGGCCGGTTTGGGATTGGATGCAGAGGTCCATGTTTCGGACACACCGAGGGATGCGCGTTATTACACTCTTCACACCCTGTAACACAGAGAGGACACGACTGTCAGGTGGACACTCATGCACCAGCTCAGAAGAGACAGCTCTATCTCTCTGAGCATCTCTGGCTCAGCTGTGGGAACATTTATTCCAATAGCCTGTCTACATTTTAAAACACGTAGGCCAGCCTCCCACAAAATAAAGAATAAAGCAGTTCACAGTTTCCACCTAGGACAAAAATCTTGTCTTTTAATTGAGACAACTGAATATGAACATACATTTCTGGATATAAAGGACTTTAGTTATTACTGCCAGATTCTGAATAGTCTTTGACTCCACTTATTAGAGGGCTGGTAAAAGCAGAAAACAGAAAGGGGAAGGGCAGCTGATACACTACACACTGCTTCACATGCTTACACAGATCATTGGGATCAAAGGGTCGAGGTGGATCTGGATCCCATTCATCCATGTCAGTGTCTTCCCCATCTTCGTCCTCATCTTCATCCTCGTCATCTTCCTCTTTTGTTTCCATCCTTCCCATTTGATTCTGCAGAGGTGCTAAAGGGTCAGAACCATCCACTGCCTCCATAGGAGGTAACACCTGGTTATGCACCGGTAACGATGCCTGAGGACAGAAGCCACAACAAGCAGTCAAAATTGGTTCCCAAGGAAAAACACTCTTACAAGGACAAGCAATGAAGGCTCTTGCTAGTCTACCCTTGCTGCTTCCTTTGCTAATGGGAGAGGAGGAGGAAGGGAAGTGAAGCTACCTAACAAATGACTGCTGAGGGATGTTTTGCATCCCTGCTGCTGACACTCTCACCCAGGACAGCTGTGTCACTGCCTAATTCAACCCTGGCACAAGGACCGACTTCAAGGGAGAAGAAACCAAAGCGAGAAGTTTCTGGACGGTTCATGGAAGGTTTCCAGCAATTAAACAAAGTCCAGGCTCTGTGGAAATTATCCAGAGCCTAAAGCTGTATTTTAGCTTCTTTTGTATGAGTTGGAGAGTCCTGTACTTTGGCAAATGGTCTTTTCTCTCCTATCGTACAATCAAATGAAAACAATCCCCAGAGCACACATGTAAAGATCAATAAGGGAGGAGATAACACCAGGACTAGATATAAACTCTGAGACATGGAAGACATTTAAGGGCATTGCATTCTCTCACTATTTTTAATGAAGATTCTCCTTTGCTTTCCCTACAAAAAAAGTTAAAATCAAATGGTGTGCATTGCACAGAATATCCATCACCCACAGCGGTTTCTCAGGTGTAAAACAAGAAACACCACACACAGAAAAGCTGTCTTAAGGGACTGGCAAAGAGACCCAGTGGATGCCGGTCCTACGTGACAGCCAGAGTTACACCTTCTGTTCACTGTGGTTTTCAAAGCTGAGAAGAGCATTTTAAGGTGGTTGCTCAAGACAGAACAATCTGAGGAACAGGTTTCTCTGTGTATTAGGTACATAATCTCTCCTAAAAATCCCCACACATTCCACAGTGAGATGATGGAAGACAGCACAAATCTGTGCTACAGCTTTTTTTTTTGTATCTCCTCCCATATCGCTCAGACACGGTTCATCACCTGAGACAATGGAGCAACGAAATCAGCGTACTTTCACATGGAAAAGAAAAGGGTGCCTGGCAACTTACTCTATCTGCTTGTTGACCCTGCTCCAGAGCCATTTGCTGGGGGGATTCAGCAACGCTGCCAAGCACAGACAGGTTGGTGGGATTCATGCTCTGAGCAGCAGCAGGCAAGAGCACAGTTACCTAAAATTATAGGCACTCATTTTAGCACTGCATCATTTCCATCAGTCACTTATATATGGGCAGTGCCCTGCATGCAAAGCTCCCTGGAGTCCTACACTAGGTCAAAAACTGCAGCATTTTAATGATGTTTGTAGCAGGGATGATGGATTTGCACAAAGCCTGCAAATCCAGGAACAAAGAGAAAAGCATCAAAACTCAACCTAGGCTTTGCAGCTTTTGGGTTTCTTATGTCCCACTCCTGGCTTTAAATTAAGGTGCCATCCAGCCTGGAATTCAAACTGACTAAAACCAAAAATTGATGAGCTCTTTAGCTCTTGGTAAAACCACTGAGTCAAGGTCTTTGTTTTTCTCTTCCATCACCATCTTATTTTTCCAGAGCAAAGGAAAAAGGAAGATAGTAAATTTGAAGAAGCATCTTCTCCTGATTTTGCCTGTATTTCTTCTGCTCAAGCAAATCAAGACCCGTTATAAAACAAAATGGTGTACAGACCTTGTTGGAAGCTCAAGCACTCCTAAGTGAGAGGATTCCAACAATTATTTATTACATTTTTCAGTCACACCATACTTTTTTGGTTGTTTTTGTACTCATTTATGTATGTAGTAATAAACACATTCTTGCATACTGCTGACATACTCACATACTGCTCCCATCAAGTGATAAAAAACAAATCAGAATTAAGATCCTAGGAATTACCTCTCCTGTCTTTTTGTCTCGCTTATCTATACGCCACTTGCACGGTTATCCTGCATGTTTTTTCATCCTTCTCTACAGCTGACATTATGTGGCTACTAGTTTGTGTCTCTGACTTTTAAACAGCTTTTACACCAAAATTAAAACCCCTGTCCCTCTAAAAAGAGTGTTTAATAAATATTGATAAAACTGAGAACAGTGAAGTATGCCAACAGTAAAGGAACAGACAAGAAAATCCATAACATAAGCAGACAGTTTAAAAACTTCAAATCTAGTTGCTAAAGATATATTAAAAGTAATTCATGAAACTGTTCAAAAATCTACAGAAAAAAAAAGACTTCAGGGAAGTGTGTGAAAGTGAACAGGAAACCTCCAGGACAACGGCTGACCCTGACTGTCTGCTATTGACATTTTTGATGCCAAGTGGCAATAGAAAAGTCATCATTACTCAATGGCAGACCTCCAGGTCTGCCAGCAACGAGAAGTTCATACGAGTTTATGTCTATTTGTACCATATATTAGCATTTCTTACTACCACTCACCCTTCAAACATCTCTACTTTCATTTCCATGTCACTTCCAGACATTGCAAGCGATATAAGCATTTTTTTAAAAAAGCACCAAAAAAAACCCCACCACCTTTCCCTTTCTTTTTAAAGTAAAATTTTTCAGAGACAAGAGTGGCTTAAATTATTATGTTAAGCTTTGTCATAAGTTTGGGGATGTCCTGCATGAAATGATGATGTAAAAATCCCTGCAAGGGCAGTAACTGCCACGAGACTCTGCTGGGAATGCTGTCATGGGGTTGGAAGGGAGGACAGGCTGAGGACACACGGACAAGTATTTATGTCCTTGATACTCAACACATTATAGCAACAGCTCACATCCTCTGCTCTCAGAATGCTATTTGCACTGCACATAAGTATTCTGTCCTTCCAATTTGATCATATATTTACTGATAAAGCTTGTTGAATAAGCTCTGAGACAATCAGATAGCATTTTTTGGCTTCCTTATAAGAGGAGAATGATGTGGCAAAAAAATCCAAAACAACACCTTCAAATATGTTGAGAGAACAGGAAGAAAACAGCTAACACCTTTACTGAGTCATTCAGTTTCCTGCTTGTGCCTTAGTTTAGGAGGCCTCCTTTTCGCAAGAAGAAACTTGATTTTCAATGCACGTTCAACCCTTTACTCTGCCCCAAGACTGCCAATAAGTACACATTTTAATGATAGCATTAGTAATACGGTAACGATTCAGACCTAACACTTTGATTCACACATGCCATTAACGATTCAACAAGCAGTAATGATTTTAAGTCTCTATGAAAAGTGTAGGATTTGCACTAGAAATCTAGATCTGCAAGTACCCACACCTGACTACCACAATGCAGTCTCCAAAGATAATAGTAAAAAATAACAAAACTCTCATACCCATACTGAATGAAAAAAGAAAAGTCATCAAAACCTTTGTATCATCAAAACTTTATAAGCAAAGCCTCCAGTTTTGTTCTGCTCCCAGTCTACTTCATACTGGCATGCACATCAGCCAGAACTCCGGGTATGCCCTGGTAAGGTGAGGGACCCAGTAATTGAATTTCTTCATGTTTCATGGTTATTTTCCTGTGAAGTTTCTGGTAGATCTGAAACTTGAATCAAGATCAACTTCTATCCCTTGAAAGCCTTTTATGAACATTTAGGTTTTCGGATCAGAATCTGTATGAGGACAACCACAAACCCAGTCTTTCCAGAATGACATTAAAATAAAGTCAGCTGCGTCAGGCTGTTGACTTATTTAAAGCAACACTGTTGAAAGTTTTTTCATGATATCTGGGGCAGTAAATTTGTATTTTTGCTGAACATGAATTAAAAATTAAATTCAAATTCTCTTATCTTTTCATTGACATTCATGCACAAAGAAGTCAAGGTAATAGCAGCTTGTTAACATGCACTTTTTGTTCATGATCACTTAGACAACAGTCAGTGACTGAAGACTGCCATCCGACAAATCCAGAGAGGGAGCTCATTATGCTCTGTCACCACAACAATGTCCCTATGCCTTCTGTACCAGTTTCCTTACAGTTCCAGGGCCAAAGAAAATGATGTCTTTCTTACCTGCTGTGTAGTGGCATCCTGTTGGACGTAAGCCACTTGGGACGGATCTGTAAACAGAGTCTAGACAAAGTGAAAAAGGCTTATCAAATTGGCCTCGGGGTTGTTTACTCCCACCTCAAACAAATATCACCCTGACACCAAGAAATGATCCATGTAAGAATAACTCCTTTGCTAGCTTTTATCACAGCAGATTAATTCATCTTAACCATGTGAATCTAAATGCACAGAAATTAAACTGAAATTGGGTACTGCTCCTGAAGAACAGAATCATGTTTACATTGCACTTCTCATCTATATATTCAGAATGCTTCACATGATTTATTTTAAAACACAGAAATCACTTTGTGAATTGATGATTTGATAAATTATACAGGATGAAATGCAGTAGCTGTGTGAAAGCTAAATAATACTGAGGGCAGGACAGAAGATAACTCTTAACTTTATCTTTCCGCAATCACAACAGAGCTCTTCAAAAGAGAGCACGCAGATATCAGGCACATCCTCCATGTGAATTTGCTATGGCTAGGGTGTTGGGTTTTATTTCATAAAAGACATGGCAACACCAATATTCCTATGGTAGTCTGCAAGAACAGCCCTGGTGGGAGAGCTTCCATCTAGGAAGAACAAAACTTGGAGGAAAACTATGCACTGACAGAGGTCAGCCTTGCTTGTTTTGCCACCATTCAAAATACCAGAGCTTGAAGCAGTCTGGCACCAATAAATAAAAGAATATATATGATATAAGAAGATATAAGAAGAATTCTTGTGTTGCTTTTTGATTTCATCCCAATTGCATAGCACTGTCTTATCACTCCAGTCCATTTTTAATTTAGACAAAGTGATAATATTCAAACTGTTCTGGAGTCACCTGGTCAGTAACTTACTGGCAAACATCCTCTCACAATATCTCATCCTCTCAGAACACCCCACCATGTAAGAATTGTTTTTACGTAATAGCTAAGGACTGCACAAGAAAAAGACCAAGCCACACAAGGCTATGGCAGCGCTGCTAGTGCCAAGTACATGCACTTTGTGGCACTACTAGTCTATTCTGTCAAAGAACATAAAAGGCTCTTGATGAAACATGTCTGTTTGTGTTTTTGTTTTGTTTTGTTTTAATCTGTCCACACAGAGGTACAGATGCACACTGTATTAACTCCATATAAATGCATGCTGTCAGAGGGGAAAAAAGCTCTTTGGTGTTTAAACTAATTATGAAGAAAAAAAACTTGGCCTATGCAATCAACAACTTCTCTGAAGAGAAACTACAAAATTAGATTGAATACACTGAGATCCTCTGCAAAAAGGCAAGGCTGTTATTGTTGCAATCAATTATTAAAACTGCACTATGCAAAACAAGGACTCTTCTTCCAGAAGACACACAGATCTCTCAGCTTTTTACTGAGCACTGCAGAGGCAGAATTTCTGAAGAGATTATCAGTGTTTTGGAAAACACCTTTGATTTAATTACCATCTCGTCCATCTTTAGTGAAATAACAAGCATTTCATAATTCATAGCCTCAACATCCTTTGATTACCACATTTGCACATCAGACTGAAGCGAACAGCATGAAGTCCCTGTTCAGCAACAGGCAGATAAAAGCATTAAGAATAACTGCCTGCTATTTTCCAGTCGCATCACTTGGCTGGGAATTGGCTTTAATCTCAAGATCGCTTCAATTTCTAGGTGCCAGAACGGGGTGGGCTCAGAACCACACATGCCTGCGTAGCTTCCACAGGATGGATGTAAACTAGCGTGTGCTCCGAGGTGTCCACGGAGGTGTAGGAGGTGCCATCCGCCGTGTAGACCACCTGCTGCGAGGGACGGTCCTGCTCATCGCTGTACACAATCTGTGCCACTGCCCCACCTTCGGGGACAAAGTGCACCTGAAAGAAAAACAGATCCTGTACTGACACTTCTGCAGGCATACGCCTATGGAAACAAGACAAGACACATCAACCGCAGTGGAGCCTTTGGAAGTGTGGAGAACCTTCTGCCCCAAACACCTAACCAGTTGTTTTGCAAACAATAAAAATCTCACTAAATAATACAAACTTAAAATCTCATCTAAATGATGCTAGCAAAATAGAAATCTGGACATAAAAACCACCATTGGTTTCTGTTTCTACACTGCATTTTAACTGAAGACCCAACAGGTATAAAGGATACCTTATAATACCTAGTTCGTGAATCATCCTTTGAAAATTGGTAAAAGTTCAGATTTGAACTGGTGTTATGTGTAAGATTCATTGGTACATTGTTTCCGTTTATTTTCAGTTTGCTTCCTAGATTTATGATAATTACTTCATTCAGCTAGCTCTGTAGTTGGAAGAATTTTTTCTGTTTGACAAATGGCTAGCAGTATCTATTAACTTTGATTGCTGCTTCAAGTAATACGATTGCACCTATCAAGAGGCAGCAATAGCATGTGTTTGATGGCTTCTTTGTAGCGTGTACACTGCAGTATCAGTAGAAAATTCAACTGTTCAAACAGAGAAACATATAACTGAAAGCATTAAGCAGTGATTCTGAAGGCTATGAGAACAAGTTACCTCCAGGGCAGTTGTTCAAATCCAAATAAACTGATTTTGATTGAACATTATGATCATAAATGTTGATCAGTGGCCTACCTTAAACAAGGTAGAATACCTAATTCCAGTGGTAATAGGAATGCTCATCTTTTGACACCTTTTATACACTAAAAACCAATTCTGGTGGATGTGAAAAAGTAGCAGTTATCAGGAAACCTAGCTTTAGTATCCACATCCACAACTGTATGTTTCCACATAAAATGAGGCCACATTTGCATATTTTATTTACTTTGTTTCACCTTTTAGCTTACGTTTCAGAAGACAGCTGGTACTTCCCAGGGGATGCTAAGCGCTGATTTCATACAATAAATCCTTATGCAAACACTACAGTAAGGATGCACACAGCATTTCACATTTGCAGAGCACTCTGCAAATACTAATCAAACCTTTTAGCTGCCATGTGCAAACAACAGCATGGTTATCCCCACCTTACAGATAACGGAACACAGGTTACTAAAAGCTGTTTTTCTTTGCAGATTTCAAAGCTGGAAATTACCAGGAAAGACAGGATGTCTTGGCTTGTGGCTCAGCTGACATGCAGCACCCTCTTCATAACATATTCAGAAGGATAAATCAAATTACAGTCTTCTAGAAACTCTCAGCTGCATTGTCTCAGAGACAGAGGGACTAGCTGCATACATCATAATCTGACTGCATTAGTCAGTGAAAATTAACATTTCTCCCTTCCCCACTACCCAGATGTCTGACTGGAAAAAATTACTCATGTTACTTTCCTGAAGGTCCACCCACAGTTCCAACCAATTCGACTGATGCCAACAAAACGGGCTGCCACAGACCACAGATTTTGTTAATATTCATTAATCTGAATACCCTTTCACTTTCCTATGTGGCTATATATACTTATACACGTATATTTATTTTTGGACATTGAACCTTGTATAGCTACTCGCTGGTTTCATTCAGCTCGTTTCAGATGTCTGCGTATTCACTGCTGCAGCTTGCGCAGCTCACTTTCTGAAGCTTTAATCTGGAATCGTCACAGACATGTTTGTATTTCTTCTCAAATACAGACTGAGTTTCCAGACCATAAAAACTGCCGAATTGGAACGCCTGCTTGCTAAGCCACCACACCAAGCCAAATTCAGTTTAAGCAGAAGCCAAGAGCTCTGGAAGGCACTAGTCACCTGAGCAGTATTCTGCTCCTGCTCAGCAGAGTCAGGCCACACCTGAGGACTTTCCTCTTTTGAGTCCATCTCCTCCCTGCCGTGGTGCTCCATGGTGAGAAGTATCTACTGGAGGAATGTCTGGCTGAGTACATTCATCTCTTCTCCGTGTTTCTCCTTCCAGAAGACAAGGGGATCTTCAGTAACATGGCTATAAAGAAAGGAGGTAGAGACATTAAAGCAAGAATGTAATGCAATCAGTTCTCATTGCAATGGAAGGGCGCTATGAGGTTATCATCAGCTCCTGCACTACAGGAACATGCTGCCAGAGTAAAGTGGGCTTGGCTTTGCAAGCATGTGAATTCTCGTTTTCCATTCTGAATACGCCATATACTATTTTCCACACCCTATTAAGGATGAAGCAAGTCAACCATTGCCACAGTTGGCACTGAAGGATACCTCCTGAATCCCTCCTGCACTTCCTCAGCCACCGGCAGTCCACAGGCACACGGCCCTTCAGCACATGCAGGCCCAGAAATCAATACGTGGTGCAGAGCAGTGACCTTAAGCTCCTAACGAGAAAACAACACATTCAGAGACACAGTGCTGGTTTCCCAGTTCATCTGAAAGAGGCTTTGATCAAGAACCAGGCGGCTTCACACTTACGGGCAGCTTTCACCTTGCACAGCAGTGCAGTGCCCGTTGGTATTCAGGCAGTGTTACACCAGACAGCTCCCAGAAAAAGAACAATGAAACTTAAACTCTAAGTGATGTAAGCCTGAAGATCCTGACAAATTGCTTCCAAGCTAGGTTTTATTCACCTCTTGCAATTTTATTGGGGCCTCTCAATCTGCCATCGGGAATCTCAGAAGGGTAATTTACAGCTCTGGTGGTTCGTTTAGTCGGTGGTTCAGCACCTTCCCAGCTCTTCCCCTCTAATGTCATATTAAATCACAGGCCCAGGAATTAGCATGAAGCTGAGCCCATTCCATTTTTCAGCTAGTCCAATTAACTTTATTTTATCCTCAGTGCCTCACTGGGCTGATCCAGTGCCAGTACCCTGTCTGCGCGCCACGAAGAAAGCAGAAGGCTCCTTGCTGACGCTTTCATTCATTTGCATTTTAAATGCAAATTATTTTAGTCATAATTTATTCCCATAAATGCTAGCAGTTGGCTTGTCACTGACAAGCTAAAAAAAGAGAAGGAAAAAAGCAGCAGGCATTTTCAGCCTTCTGCTGATTTCACCAGCAACGAGTGGGCTTTGTGGACCCGAGCACTGGCTGCACCACGCCACGGGTCTCGGCCAGAACCCATAAATTAACGGTACAGAAATGTCTCAGGCTGACATCACTGCACAGAAAGGGGGAGGAGGAGATCACAGAAATCACATTGCTTCCACATATACAAAGGGAAACTTTGGGAAAGGCATTTCTAAGACATTTCTGGGCATTGCTAGAGCCTAACGTGCTGTCTCATGCTGAGCAGCACCCAACGCACTGCAGGCTGATCGGACTTCTTACTAGGCTCCGTATTTCTCAACACAAGGCATCCAGAAAAGCACTGAAAAGGAAGAAAACACATCTACCTGCTGGCTACGCTTCAGCTAGAGGATCTCATTAGTATGAAAAAGTGAACTGGAGCAATGATTGGGACAGAGAAACGCCCAGCCTTACCCTCCGAGTGCAGAAAGCTGGGTCATTTACAAATATTATTTATATATTCTAGCTCCCATAAGCTCTGCTGTATTAAGAAGTATTATCCATCCCTGCACAGTACCTTTCATCCAGCAATCTCAAAGCTGTGTTGCTGAGGATTAATTCAGGGATTTCCTCCTATCTAATCCTATCACTTTCACCCAACTCCATCGCTCACCCCACTGGGTCGAGGTGATCACACAACTGCTGGGAGAAACGCGACCGCATTTATGGCAGGGACACAATCTAACAACCATTTTGCATAAAATTAAATGCCTGTCCTGTCAATTTTGTTTGGCTTTGTTCGTCCCAAATAGCTCTTTTTTTTCTTGCCTGTCATGAGATACCAAGAGCCAATTCAGGTAATTGCACTAGCACTATCCAGTAGTTTAATCAATTAAGCAATACCTAATTGCTCAGAACAATTAAAAAACACCAGGCTGCAAGGTTTTGGCATTGTTGTTTTGTTTTTAATATATAATTATCTTGTTAGCAAGAATGCAATTAGATTAAGCAGTGATTAAGAGAAAGGTATGGCTATGGCTAATCCCGTATGGTGCAACAAGTAGCAGGATTTTTGGCTGATTTCCCCACAAGCAGATACTGGAGGTCTGTAAGATGCTGACTCACTCCTGCAGACTCCTTCAGGCACAAATAACTCACAACTTGAGCAGAAAGGAGACTCAAGGTTTCAGACAGGCCCTTCACAGACAAAATTGGATGTGAAGATTCATCACTACGGAAAATAGTACTAACAAGTTGGAAAGGAAAGAAGATGATGGTATTTTTGCAATGGTCCTAAGGGTTAACATCTCAAGCAAAATCTCAGTCTGGGGAGGGAAAAAAAAAGCAAGGTGGAGGCAATTCAGTGTCTCAGTGCTATAGTTTCTATAAATGGTCCTGTTATATTATTGCTGTTCTTCACTGAAATAAGAAGTGTATACATGTACACTGCTCAGCCCAGCCACCTGTGCAGCAATACCACGCAGACGGTATCGGCTGCAGGATTTGCTGATGCCTTCAGCTCCTGTACTATAAAATCAAGCCTCTGGTGCACGTTCCTGCAGGAGACTGGGTCTCTGTGAATTCATAGCATTTCTGTTAGCATCACCAAAGCATGCAGGACGCGTTTCCCTGGAAGCCTGGATGTGCTGAGTAAGGAGGCAGCGCAGGAGCAGCCTCACACAGAGGTCCCCGGGAAAGGCAGTGGAGAGGGCACGAGGCAGGAGCAAGCTCTGAAGTTTGGCTGCTCAAAGTCAGGGAGATGAGGTCTGAAGCTAAGATTAAGGCTTTGAGAAACGGTCAAGCTGGAAAGCACGATCCGGTCTGAAGTCAGAGACAAGGAAACTACCAGAAAACAAACACCTGAGTAAGCCTGCCAGCGCTGATGACAAAGTCACTTGCTCTGCAGCCCTTTTACGTAGGACACTCTCCCTCATTAACCCCACCTGATCTTCTTTTCTCCTCCATTCCCCCTAACAAAACCCATTACAGCTGTGACACTGACAGCCACAGGGCCTCAAGCCATTAATTATTTCCCTGGGGACTTGTCTCCGCAGAGATGTCTCACTGCACAGGGAAGCAACAGCTGTCCAGCTCAGCACATGGACCCGCGGTATTTATTTATTTTTTTCCAAATTAGCTGCGGAGGAATCAGGATGAGCACATTGGGCTACGTGATGTCTACACTTCAGAAGAAAGGCACATCCAAATGTTGATGTTACCTCGCAGGTGGGCACAAAGTGTCTGCTCCTCAGCCAGAGGTCTGCCTGCCTGCCGGGGCTCTGATTATGGTGCTCAGCCTGAGATAGCACCCATGGGTGCAGCCCTCGAGCTCCTGGGATGTGCCCACGTTTTTCAGGGGCAGAAGCATGCTCAGGGGTCGGAAGGGACGCTTGCAGGCAGCTCTGCTTCTCCCCCAGGCTTCTCAGCACCCAGTTTGGGGCTGGTGCAGTCGGCAGAAACACGGGGCAGGAATGGTGCTGTCCTGCCTGTGCACCCAAAACATCCAGCTGCCTGCCTCCTCGGGTGAGACAAGTAAACCAACAGCCTCTTCAAGACAAAACAGGTTCATTGCTGTGTGCGACCTCCATTTACCTGCCTTCCTTAACACCCTCTGGGGCCCCACAGCCTTGGCTTTCCTCTTCGGTTCCTGCCTTTTCCATCCAATCCCGAACATCACTAATGGTGTTGCCTGTCCTCCACGGCTCCTGATGCATGGAAAACTTCTCTGTGTCATTGTCTGAGCAGTTCATCTTTTGGAAATCTCCCTTGAAAACTCCTTTTGACCGCCACAACACGCTCCAACCCCTCTCCTGTTCCTGCAGCACCTTGTTTTATCTCAGGCTGTGTTATTCAACCAGCAGCTCTCCCCTCTCACTGGATTCGGCTCTGGAGGATGAAAAAACTGCTGCTCGTGGGCAAAACCTTGTTCCCCATCCTACATCAACGTCCTCATTAGCCTCTCTGTCCTCAGCAGGAGACACCCACACCCTCGGCCACCTCCCAGAGGGAGGGAGTGCTGCTGAGAACCCTTCCCAACCCCTGAGAGCAGCCCAGCATCCATCCACCTCACCTTGGTGGTGCTCCGGGACCCCTGCCAGGCAGGGAACGGGAAGGAGAGGTGCTTTAAGACCCCAGAAAACAGCAGGCACTGGTCTTTTGTACTTGGCACGCAAGAATTTTTGACAGGAATCGAATGCAGTGAAACCACGCGGGGCTTCAAAGGGAAGCTCAGTTCTGAAACTCCGAGAAAGGCAGCACCAACAGCACCTGCACTTCCTTGTGTCCCTGCTGTTAGGGAAGGAGGCTTTCTCTCAGCAATGGGACTCAACAAGAAGATACACAGACAAAAGCTCTGGGGCTTCATCCACAGCAACCTCTCCAAGTCCAATTAAGAATATTCTGCTGAGAAAGCACCCGAGCCAGTGGCTGCCAAACATCCACTGCTGTCCCTTCCCTGAGATGACAAGAACGGGGGAATATCAAAGCTGGGCAAGGGGAAAAGGCCGCCTCCCTTCTCGAGGAGCCATAAAGCCACTGCAGTATCTCAAATGAGAATCCACTTTACAATAATGGTGCATAAAACAGCTAATGTGATTTACTCCCCAGTGTAAAAGAGGCTTGCATATGGATCGGGGTTCCCTGCAGCAATAACAGCAGCGACTATTAGCTTAATCCTTTAAGTACTGAGCTCACTGACCACTCTTCTTCACTGTTAACCATATGCAAGGACAGCAAGATTGTTACGAAAGGGGTTTTATGGCTGTGGGTCTTCCTCCAGCTTTTAATATGAAAATGATTTATGATGCTCAAAAGGAACATCACATGTGTCTGCAAAAGCTATATCCCACACTTAAGTTAATTACCCCAGCCTGCCTAGAAGGCAGAGTTGGTGCATTTCCTGAGATCCCTTGGCAAGAAGATGCTTTCATTGCAGCAGGAGGGCTGGGAAGCACGCTGGGTTTCTAACCTCATTGACTACTGAGTCACGACTGCTGTCTCTTCCTCTGCATCCTCATTCATCAAAAGCACATATTGTTTCAAGGAACTCTGGCTCCCGTGCATTTTGGCTGACGGTTAATAATCAGGTAATATACGAGCACAATATTTATGTTTTACTGGTGAGTTAGAAATGGAAATCACACACCAGGCTGGGGCAGCCGAGATTATTTATTGCCACAAAAGGAAAAATGGCTTCAATTTATTTAGTCATATAATAAATAGAAGAACTCAGCCAAACACAAACTCACTCTTTACTCAAATTGTGCATAATGAGTCGATCTCCCCATACCCTTACATCACATCCATCATCACAGCAACAGAGCAAGAGGCCTCTTGGATCTCCAAGGCCAGCCCTCTGCTACGGCGCGCAACAGAAAGGACATTGCCCGAGTGCCAAAATAGCAACAGCACTTGTCAAACGCATGACAGCGTGGTGCAACCGTGCTGTTCTCTCAGGGCATCGTGGAAGTAGCTACAAGTCTGAGTGCTTACACTGCAAAACCCAGGAGATAATCACCCAGTGCAGGTGAGCCCCAGGAGGGATTGGCATCCTACAGGGGGGCCCTACAGACTGGGCTGGAGAAGCAGTTCCCTCTTTCTGCATATCCTAATTCTTGAATTAGCCAAGTGGTCCTCACTGTATCTGTCCTGCGCCTTTGGTGTAGACAAGAGACAAGTTCATTAGATTTATCCAGATACACGCGATGCTCTTTGTAGCCACCTCTCCTCCCCTTTGCTCCATCACTAGATACCCGCTCCAATAACCAATGTCTCCCTCCCATACTCAGCTTCCTAAATGCGTTACCCATTCTTCACGTCGCCTTCTTTCAAATGTTCCGTATTCTGAAGTCCCTGCGATATCACCGCCTGCTACCACCACACACCACAGACCTCAGGCTTCAGCTGCTTGAGGCAGTGACCCCATTCACTTAATTGATTTGGCTGACTAATGAAAAGGGAGAAATATGTTAAGGGAACAAAACAGGGAAGACACCTACTCGAGAATAACATAAGCAAAAAAAAAGAAAAAGAAAAGGTCTGTATCGAGATGTGTCCTACACAGCTGCAAATGCAACTTCGAAGGAGACACTCTCATGGTTCAGGAGAAGACAACAAAACCATACCACCCCCACAGCGCTCTGCTTCACTCCAGCTTCCTTTTGCCTCCTATTCCTCCTCCTGCTCAGGCACCTTCCCAAAACTACCTCCACTTCGAGGTGGAGTTTGTTCCCCTTCCTGCAACCCGCTCATGCTGCTTTCTCTCCCTCCCACCTCTCTGCATTAAATCACTGCTGTGCTCCAAGCTCTCAAAAGACAGAACTACCACTTCTCTGAACATTAAAAAAAAAAAAACCTTGCCTGTTTCAAAATAGCTGCTTGTCTGAAGTACTAGAGACCCCTGAGGGCAAATCAGGCTGTCTGTGCCTTAAAACAGGTGGCTGCTTCACACATAAAGCCAGTTAAGGGCTATAACATAACCTCTACTTCTCTGTTCTACTAACATGGAAATAAAAGTGGCAAATAGAGCTGATCTCATGTTTAAGTCAAAACAAAATTCACAATACTAAAACAGCCTCCATAATTAGCTACACTTATAAGTCAATTAAAATTCAGTTTACACAGCTGACAGCAGCTGCAGGTGGTCAAAAAACACACTGGAAAGTAGCTGCTAACAACAGAGCAAATTACCATAAGGAGTTTCTTTGCAGGTTAGCAGTACGGGTGCCAGATGAGAGCAAGCTCCTCACAAGATCTCTCAAAGAGCAAGTGGTCAATTCTTCTGCAAGATATTAACAGTTACATCTAAATTTCCTCCTATAACAAGGAAATAAAGCTGTCTCCATGAAGCACCTAGTATACTAGAGAGGTATAGCATGCAGCAAAGTGCCAAAAAGCATCACAGCTCAGGAGACAAGTTCTCCCTTTCAGGACTGAGAAACACACCTTCGTACTTTTTCCCCCACTAAAAATGAAGGTGTTAGCTTGAGATTGTCAATCGCTATTTCCACCAAAGACTCAAAATACCCCTCCTGTAAAATCAGTTGATTCACAAGCATTTCATCTTCTAACTGAGCCAACAGAAAGAAATAAAATTCAATTGAAAAAAAGTGATAGAAGAAAGCAAGTGCTCGATCCAGTCTCCATATTTAACTTTTAAAGAAAGACATTAATACACGTTTCACAGGGACACCCAGCCTCGAGCTTGTTCTTTCTCCAAAAGAACCACGAATACATCCCCAACGTGCCAGAAACATTGGGGCATTCACCAAAAAGTGCATCCCAAGAACTGACTGCTTGGTTCACCCTGGGGGCTGTGAAGCTCAGCAGCCTGAACCAGAGAGTTTTAAACTTTGGAAAGACCACTCAGGGATCTGCCACGAGCAGCTGGGAGGTAAGAGCTGCCTTTGCATGGCTTGAAGGGTTTCCTGACAGGCAAACCAACCCTTTGTAGGGCTGGCTGGCCCTTTAGGGCTGCCAGGCCTGCAAGGCAGAGGACCAAGGTCTTTTTTTTTCATTCCTAGTGGGAAATTTAACAAGCTGCCCCTGCTTCAGCACCACAGTGCCACAGGAGCGGACGCGGCACCTCAGCACCACAGACCTGACAGCAAGAGGGCCGAAGGAAATAAAAATGAGACAGCCACACGCGGTATCTGTACATGGGTGTATTTAGTAGGGTATAAAACCAGTACAAAACTCGGTGCTGCCACAGCAGCGCCAAACTTCACAGCCCCATGCCCAGACGCGTGGCTGCGCTGCCTCCTTCGAGCCCGCGAAGCTCCGGGCCCCTCAGGCAGCGGGAGGGGCCCCAGCCCCGGGCCCTGCCCAGGGTTCCCGCTCCCCGCAGGGCTCGGGGGGACTCCAGGCTGACCCCCTCCCTCCCCTGAGCCCCTCACAGGGCTGACTGCCGGTGCCCCCCCACCGTCTCCCCCTTATATAACCTCCGCTGTCCCCACCGGCAGCCAATCCGGGGAGGGGGCGCAACGCCCCCCTCCTCCCGCTAGGCCAATGAGAAACGGGGGCGCGAGGCACGCGGCCAATCAGGAGGGGCAGGCGCCCCCCCCCTCACGCGGCGCCGCTCCCCAGTACGGGCAGGCAGCGCTGCCCGCTCCCCCCCCCCCCCGGGGGGAAAGCGCGAGGCGCCGGCAGCCCCCTGTGAGGGCGCCCTACGGCCGGGCGGCCCCAACCACTGGGGCGCGGGGGGGGGTGGGAAGGGGGCTGCCAGCGAAGGCCGCGCTGCGTTGCGGAGGGGAGGGGAGCCGGCCTAAGCACGGGGCGAGGGAGGCGAGCCGCCCGCCGTCACGGAGGGCTGAGGCGCCCACAGTGCTGGGGGGGAACAAGATGGCTCCAGCATACACCCCCCCGCCCCCCCCGCTACTGAGGTGCCGGGGTCCGGACCGTACCATCGGGGGAGGGGGGGGGGGAGCGGGGGTGGGGGCAGCCCCTTCTCCCTCCGGCCGGGCCGGGTGGGGGATCCCGGCTGGGGCGGGGAGGGGGGGGAGCGGACCGTACCTCTCCCGCGGGGGGGCGGGGGGGGCGGAGGGGAATGAGTGCGCCCTGCTCCCCCTCCCCCCCCCCACTCGCGGGAGCGAACGGTTTGTCCCGGCCGCAGCGCTAAGGAGCCGCCAGCTCCGGGCGCCATCTTGGGTGCGACTAAAACAACAAGTCCAAAACCCCCGGCGGGGCCCCGCGGCGCCCCCGGGCCGCGCTTCCCTCCCGGACCGTCCCATCGCGTTACCTGAGGGGGTCCCGTGCGGGTGGCGCGTCCCGGCCGCCGGCGGCGGCCCCGCGGCGGCCCCAAACCCCCCCACCTGTCCTCACCTCACAATGGTAGCTGCAGAACGGGAGGGGGGGCGGCCGCCCGGGCCTCATTACCATAATCTGCCTGGCAACAGGCTGCGGCGCCGCGCGCTGATTGGCTGAAACGCGCCCGCCCGCCGAGACGGGGCGCAAAAGCCGTCAAGAAAAGAGTCGGGAGGCAGGCAGGTCAGGGGGCCGGGGTGCAAGGGGAGGGGGGGGCAACCCTCACGGGGGGGTGGGGGAGAGACCCCCTACCCGGGCCTTCACTCCCCCCGGGATGCCCTCCACCAATCAGAGCGCCGCTCTCATCCGCGCTCCTCTCCGCCGGGCCCCTTCCCGCCAATCCCAGCGCTCGTCTCATGGCGGCGCTCCGCCCCCCGCTGAGGGAGGCGGTGTGGGGGGGGGCGCAGGGGGCGCCCCCTGGCGGCGGGGGGAGGGGGGGGCCGCGGCCCTCAGCCCCCGGGGCGGGCGGGAAACGGGGCCGGGGCCCGGGGCCCCCCCTCAGCCCCTCCGAGGGGCGACCCCGCGGGCCCCCCGTGGGCTCCCGCCGCCGGGGGGCGCCTCGCCCACAGCCCTTGTCCCTCTCAGAGCTCTGCCCTCAGAGCCGCGCCTCAGCCCGTTATTGGCCAAAACACGAGGAAATGCACCCAAAAATGCCCCCCCGGGCTCCCCTCAGGGCTGAGGTTTCTTCCAGGTTTATCGCCCAGAGCTCCACCCCAACATGGGCTCTTGTGGCCCAGTGACCCAAAGCCCAGTGCTGGAGGAAGGGCAGAATTTGGCTGAAGATGACTCAGGGCTCCTACAAAAACTGCTTCTCCTCCTCCTCTGCCCCAGGAGAATAACAACAGGGGCAGTTCTTGGTGCAATTGAGCTACTTCTCCACTCTGGCTGTTAAAAGCCCGATACAGTCTTTCAAATCGAGGCCCATGTGTACGCTGAAGTCATCCCCATTTGTACTGACCTGTCCCTTCCATGAGCAATCAAGATAAAAATCAGAGATGCAAATTTTCTGACTTGTGTTTAGTAACTTACATCTTTAGCCAAGAAAGATTTTTAAAACTGAAGCGAGTGGAGTTGCTTACCCAATTTGGTTCTGTTTTTTTCTCCACAGTTCTTCTCAACTCCTCTGGGCAGTTCTCTTAACTTGAGTTATGGAAGCTATGGAGTCAATTTCTTTCTCTACCCTGTAAAACAGCTTCAATTTCATTATACCACGCTGAAATGTTGGGATAACAAATAGCACAAGAAAAAATATAAGACCAAACAAAATTGCTTTATTTCCCACATGTCTTAACAGCGATTTGTACTCATTCTAGCAAGTCAAAGCGTTTTCATGCTGTTGTATTTTTATTTGGGATTTCTGAGAGTCTCCCTAACATTTTGAAGACTTGAAACATTTTAGAACTGACTTGGATACAAGTGTGGTATTGTGTCATGTTTTCATGCAACTGTATAGTTCTGCAATTGAGCACAAAACAGCGCAGGACTTCAGGGCTGTCCTTTCCTGGCACATGGGTCATGTTCTGAAAGTTATTTGGGGATATTTTCTTCCCTTAGCTTGGAAAGACTGATTCAGGGCAAGTGCACAGTGGATGTAGCAGGCTGCCAGATGCAGAAAAAGCATGCTGCTCTGATTCATCATCTGCAGTATCTGGAATCTGATGTAATGCCCATTGTATTTCCCACATTTAATGTGTTCTTTCTGATGCTCCAGCACAGGCTTTGTTTTTCCAAAAGCCTCGTGCTGCCAGAGTGAGAGAAGCCTTCACATTAGGTTAATTTATTTATTTCTAGTTCTCATAGATAGTCCAAATAATTTCCCTGTTCGCCTGTCTGGAACGGTGCTGTAACCCTTCATTGAATCCTCCTTTCTCTCATCTCCTGGGTCATCAGGTCTGTATCTCCATCTGCATTGTCTCGTTTGTATACTGCTGTTTCAGCACTGCCTCTGCTGCATGTGTCCTGCCTTGCCTATTTTGCCTTCCCCACGGCCTACACGGCTCGTTTTTCTGGACCGCAGCGCTGTCTCCCACGCAAGCGTGTGTATTCTCATCCTCCCAGCGAGGGCGGCCGTGCTCTCATTTCAGGCTCCAGCTGGAAAAGGATGCTGCAACCCCGCCCTGTTTCATTTACTTGCAAATATCTTTTTGACCCAACTCATCTTCTTGAGCATCTCCATCGCCTAGTAAAACCACTGCCACAAGCCTTTGCCTTAACAAGCAAACCCCCAGACCTCCTCCCTCCAGGACCACCGCTCCCTAAAGCTGCTCAGAGACCCTCCAGCCTCCTTTGCAGACCACCAAAGCTTTTCTGTTATTTTCCTGTCTATATCTCTTTGTTGCTGCTTTTGTTGGGGCTGATTTTTTATGACGTTGTCCCATTCTGAGAGGCATGTAGATTAAAACATGACAAAGAAAAATGCTCAAGTGCTGTAAACTCATTTGAGTTATGTAAGCAGACCTTGTCTCGCTGGCCCTGTTGACCTCTCCAGACTACATCTGTGCATGATAAGTAGGCACTTGCATCCAGGTTTGCAAATTAAACTGTGCATGGGCTGTGCACTGTAGTATCCATTGAACTTCCCTTGTGCAAGCCTGATTTAAAATACTAATCTAGAAGATGGAAGAAAATGTTTGTTAGAACCTTCTAAATTATATTGCAACTGAAATGTGATTACTTTGCATCCTGCATGGAGAATACAAAACACGGTGAAGTTAATGATATGAGTTTACTGATTTAGAGTAAGCCACAGAAAATTTAATTAAGATTGCTTCATGTAAAACATACAAATGTAACAAAATGCTCCTGTTTTGGTTTCCAGAGCCATTTTCCCCAGAGAAGAACAAAAAACCTTTCCTTTTAAAAAGGTAAATTATTCCCCTTATTCTGCAAGGAAAAAGTTTCACTAAAAAGTTTGGCTGTAACCATGTTTAATAGCATCTACCAAATAATCTCAAAATTGCTTTGACTTAAAACTAAGGGAAAGGTGTACCATTAAAGAAAGCATTTCATCACATACATGCACTTTTGACTACCTTTTTTTTTTTTTGTCATTCATTCCCCAGCATTAAATAAATATGGTCAGCAGGCAAAATAAGTGACAAAACAATTTACATGCCCCATAACAATCCTTATTGTGCTTTTTGTAAGAAGCGCATCGAGTTTTAGGAAAAGGCAGCTACTCAGTTCACCATGAACACCTACTAGAAGCCATACCGGGGTATATGAACTGGGAAAGAGTGTTCTGGCTGCAGAAATGCCTGTAGGAAAAGCACTTTGCCATTTGCATGCCACCATCTCCCTCTTCCATTACAAAAGGCTGCTGCTTCTGAAAGCATCTTGAGGTCTGAGTTCAGTAGGAGGGAAAAATCAACCACAAAAGTTTGGTGTTTCACAAGATCTGAGGTAAACTGCTTTTGTTCGCAGGCTTCTCCAGAGCAGGGCCCACTTTTCCTCCTTTTTGTGCACGGCTGCTACAGGGGAGTCCTGGCCCATCAGCAAGGCAGCGGCTTGTGGCAGCAGTAAATGCCCATGCTCACAGACACATATTGGAGCACTGATGCACCAGAGTTTTTTTTGCATTTCAAGACTTTTTAATTAGAGCATTTCCCAGAAGCCTGCACTGGACAGATGTAGTTCAACTTCAAATCCAGGTCAGCCACTTGATCTCGGATTACTGTGCATTTAGTCCCTACAAACCTCTTCCCCCAGAAGGACGTTCAGCCTTCACGCGATTAGCCCCGCAGCACTTGCAGGACATAACCCAGCTCTGCTCAGGTTCAGGTGCCACCAGCAGCCATTCCTGGTCACACAGGAGCATTATCATTAGGGCAGATACTTGTGCATCAACCACACAGTAAACAAAGGATATCTTCATTTCCTCTCCGTTAAGCAGGCTGGGATGACTCCAAACTATTCATGATGTTTGTTGATATTTCTGAATGTGCTAGAAGTAAAAAAAGTTGACCAGAAATAAAACAAATATTTTCTCTCAGTGTTAGTACCGTATCTAGGCATTATAATAAAGACTCATCGCAAAGAATTTAAAGGACTTCAGTTTTCTAGAACATTTTCCTTTGTCCAGCCCTGGGAAAGGTCTTGTTATTACAGGTCCCTTTGACAGCTGTTTTAAAAAAAGAGAGTGAGTTGATAAAATCAGGCTTAGCCAGCCTCTGTTGGGAAAGATAGGATCCTTCAGAGATATTCCTCTTACTTCTAGATACCTTTAGTTGATAAAAAAGGCAACGTGGAAAAAGTTTGGTGATAAGTTATGTTTGATGCTTGAACTGAAGACACATTTTCTGAAAACCATGTTTGATAACCTCATTTAGGTATGTGCCAACCACAGGTGCTATTTGCCCAGGCTTTTTGTAAAACAGTAAAAAATAAACCCCTGGTCTGGGGAAAATCCACTATTAATTTCAATAGGCATGAGCTGGTTAGTCTGTCTCCATCCCAGATGCTCAGAAGTGAGGAAGTGAGACCCTTCTCCTTGGTGTAGGAGCTACAGGGGGGTTCCCAGCCACCGAATCCATCACAGCCACCACGAGGTATCTCCTGGGCAAGCTTCCTCTTAAGGGAAGTTGAGGTTTTTGTTCTTGCAGCCTTGACCGGGAGACTCCTCTGGGCGTCACTGAGGACAAGTCAGGGAATTTTTTTTCAAGGCCTATTTCTACTTACATGTATTTGTTCTCATGCCAAGATTTTTGCGTTGCTTGAAGAGGGGACTTATTTTTTCTTTCCCCAGTGTTTATTCTCCTGATGTATTTATAGGCAGCAGTCGTACCCTCTCCTGGAGTTTGTTTTGTTGGACTGCACAAGTCACATTCCTTTTATCTTCTCCCGTACAATATGTTCTCCAATCTCCAGTTTGTCTTACTAGCTCCTCTGCTGGAGTGCCGCAACAGAACATTTGAAAAATAGTTTAAGTTACGTGATACATTTTTTGAAGTAGCTTCAGAAAGCCTTATTGATTTTTAAGCAAAGAAAGCTTCCCCTTAAAAGTCTTCAGCTCCTTGCAAGAGAATAGATTGTGAGAGCACCCCCACCAGCCACAGCCCCATCCAACAGAGCCCAAACTGGAGACAGCAACCAGAACCATCTGAGAATCATCGACAGACCCCAAGGAGATGATACAGGTCAGTACAACCAGGAATGAAGCCCCCAGGCCACAACACAGCCTGGCAAAGACAACCAAGGTTAGACAAAACACAGCAATCACTACTCAATCCATGCTCCTCCAGGATCACTCAGGTGAGGAGTCAAATCCCAGGGCTCTGCTTAAAACAAGCACCTGGGCCTGTGGGTGGGCACATGGGTGGGGGCCCTGGGTGGGGCTGTTTGGGGTTAGTAAGATTTATTAGTGGCCCCGGGTCACTAACATGATGTGTTGTTGTTGAAGTGCTGCAGGTAAAGCCTTGTTCCTACAGCAACTCTGGTTTTCTGCTAGGCCTTCCACGTTTTGATGTGGAATCTCTCTTAAGATAATGTTATTGTTCCTACCCACTTCTATTAAAAAATCTATGGGCCTGAGATAGAGTAGCAATTTAAAGTTTCAGGGGTGGTTGTGTGTTTTATTTATGCCTGTTTATTCCCCACCCTGAGGCTTGAAGTTTTCATATATTGCATTTTTCAAGTTTTCCTTCCCCAACCTTCTCCTAATGATCAAGAAGCTGGAGATTTGAAAAGAAAGCTCCTAGTGATGTTTTCCCAGAGGGTTTGGGGATTTTGTTGTTAAGTGTAAGAAAAACAACCTTTGTAATACTGGCAATGTTGCATTGCTCTCAACATCTCTGGTATTTGAGACTGCAGTGTCCTGTTTGAATAACTGACCCTGCAGAGAGAGCTGCACAAGCAGACACCTGCAGCAGCATAGGGCTGTATTGATTTAGATGTCACTTTGGATTACATTCAAAATATTTTTGCAGAGTAGTTCTTTGCAGTTGGATGTGTCCTTCAAGAGGATAGTTGTCTCAGTGGAAGAGAAATGTTTACTTTGGTGACTGATTAGTGTAAAGGAGGGGATGTTTTGAAACTAAACAGAGTTTGAAAGGTAAGTATATTCCACCCACACTATAGACAGATACCTGAATGTCTTTGGAAATGAGTGTCTTAGAAGAACAGTAGGTATCAAATGGAGCAAATGTATAGCGAGTGCCAAGATTTGTCAGTGAGTTCAATGCTGCCTTATCTCTACAACTGACAAAAGGAAAATGGTATCATCTGAGACAGCCATTAAGCTTGGAGCTGCAGCCTCTGCCCTGGTACAGATGGCTACAAATGAAAAACTCCTGCTGCCAGCCAGACAGGAAAAACATGGAAATTAGCAGCCCAGAGGAAAAGCACAGGGCTGCCCAGAGCAGGGAATTCTGGCAGTCCCAGACCACACTTCAGACAAATGACATTGGAGGAGGGATTCAGATACTGTACTCTGCAAGGAAATATTGTATTAATCTGTTTTTAAGAAATCTTAGTGTAGTGAATGGAACACAGCCCAGTTATTTTTACCTTTTTTTTTTTTTCTCCTTTCTTTTCCTGTTGTTTTTCATTGGAGGAAATACTCCTCATTGTCAAAGCTCATGTGATGTTATTCAAGAGCACCCAAATGTTATGTTTTCCAGGTGTGCCCAGACACCTGGCCAGCCACCAAACAGAGGTGTTTTCTTCAAAGCAGCGGATTTACACGGTAAGGCGAGCATTCATTCTTTCAAACAATTATGACAGTTCTTAGCATTTCTCTGTTATTACAGAATTGTTCAACTGTTGCTTTGAACTCTTGTAACCTCAGCCTGCATACAGTGGAAAAATTCAGGATTTGCTCGCCTGAGCATGAAGCTCACAATAAAATATTTGCTGCAGTTCCAGCTGAGAGTGCTTGTGCGTCCTGCATCACGTTAGGTTTGCTCTGCCTTAATTTTGCAGGAGCCCTTCTGGAAATTTGTATCAAGAGTTTTGCTTCAGTAGAATTGATATTTCACAGTACTCTAAAATCCATTTGCTCAGGGAGGCAATCTTTAAAGATAATAAAATATATTTGGAGCTCAGGCTGGATCTGTGCTGTAAGTTCTGTCAAAGGATCCAGAATTTGACCCCTGATTTTCAAAATGATTTGAAATTTTCTGTCTAGTGAATTTGACTGCATAATAGAGCACCAGAGTAATAGCAGAGCTATTTCTTAAAGCAAATTTGCAGTCATTTTGATCAAGAGACTTGCCAGTGACTTTGCCCATCCAAAAAGCAGCCAATTTTTGCACTTAAGTGTCTTTTTTGCCGCCATGGTTAGATTGTCCTGAAAGTTATTATTTTAAGTGCTGAGTTATTTAGGAAGGTAAAGGACAGGAATACACCTAAGATTAGGTCATTTTACACTTCTGAGATCAGTCTGATAAGGCTGAATTAATCTCCCCGGTAAATTCTGTTTCATCCAAGAATATCCTATTAAGCTGAATGAGCCACTTCACATTCTTGCTGTCCTTCTCAAATGCAAAAGGTTGTAATGAAACGTCTCCTTCTGCCTTAATCTTTGTAATGAATTCTAGAGCATGGCTCCCCTTCTCTGCCCTCTGCTCACTATTTCTCTACAGAACTTCTAGGAAACCTGCTGGTGATACCTGTTTTCATTTCTTCCTACACAAGTTCCTCAAAACATTCCACCCTACTTTAAAATGCTAGAAACTCCCAGCCCAAAAGCTATTGGCATGCAGAGTTAAGTCTGTGGCTCATGCTTTTCCAGACTCTTGTGTAGGTACAGACAATCACAAGTGACTGCCTTGCTGGAACCAGGGACGAGAAACTTCTCTGTGGCATTGCAGCTGAAGCAGGGTGTCTCGCACTTCGAAATCCCTCATCCAAGCCCAAAAGTTTGAAATGGTAGTTGGCTCTGAACTCAGGGAAATGTTTGTGTTTTGTTTTGTTTTTCACACATACTTTTGTTAGATAATCTGTGACCTGGGGGAAGAAGTGATCTGCCAAGCTTTCTGAATCCCTTTCCAGCAGCAGAGGCTGGTGTTGGTAGAAAGGTTGAAGCAGGCACCTGGAAGGAACTGTGTTGTCTGAGTAAGAGATGACTTCTTACTTCAAGCAGGGCATGAAGAAAAAGAAAGAGGAGGAACCAGCTGCCTAGCTGAGCACACCAAGGAGCTGCAGTGAGGAGCAAAATATGCTGGAGATTGTTTAATAGGTATTTTTCACAGACCTGCATCAGAAGGCTGTAGTGCAGCCCTGGTACTTTTTTCTCCCAGGATGAATGCAGCCAGGACGTCGTACAGCAGCCTGGCCTCCACAGGTGTTGTAATAGTGGGCAAATTACATTTTAGTGCTGACTGGGTTTTGAGCTCTTTCTTGTGGCTTAAGCGTGTTGGATGAGTTTAAATATTACTCCTCTGTAAACCTCAATACCTCTTGACTAAGAAAGAGAAAACAATGCATGTTCCATGCCAACTTCAGGTGTAGGTAAACAGTGATGTTATTACTATTTTCTCAGGAGTAGTGTTTTTTGACTGTGTAGGCAATATCTGAGAAGAAAACTTCTCACTGACCTTGATATTCAGGTAGTCCTCCTGCTAACCTGGTAAATGCCAGAAAGGATACCTGGCTAGCACCCTTCACAAAGCGGTCTATCCACATAGCCCAAGGTTGTCCTGCTCTCAGAGTGGTTATATTACCTGCATCACTCTGATTTACTAGGCAGAGACAGGATTACTGCATTCAGCCAGGACTGGGTGAGGTGGTATTGTCTGCTGTGGTCAGTATGAGAGCACCCTTGGTGGTATTAGAGGTATTAAAGTCAGGCATTGGTCATCACAAACCCACTGTCTTCCTACAGGATAGAAGTGCAAAGGGATCCTGCAGTAAATGTATAAAGAAATGGCTTGTTTCTAATTTGGGTTTTTTAGAGCATGGTTTTGATTCTTTGGTCCTTCCTCAGACAAAACTCCTGCTAAAGTAGATACAGTAAAATTAATTAAATGACTGTGCTAGCTGTGCATTGAAATCATTTTAGCAATGCTTTGACAGCTTGTGAACTCCTCATTTGCTTCCTGTGAAGCAATCATTTAAAACTCATTTACTTTTCCAGTTTCAGGTTTGTATTTGATTTCCATTCTCAAAGCTAAACAGAAAAAAAAAAACAATGCCAAACATGAAACTGAAAAGTGCAGTTACGCTGCTAACTAAATCTTGCCTTTGCTTAATCTTTTTTTGACCCATTCACTTTCTGTCATGGTGCCTGCAGAAACTGTACAAAATATTTTTACAAAATACTATTTCAAATAAATAGAGCAACCACAACACTGCAAAAACACGTTAAAGACACAATCAAGATGAAAAGACAATTCAATATTCCTTTAAAGCATACTGGGAATCTCTCTCCTTTCAGAATCTTTCATCAGGTTTCCTTTAACACCTGACATATTGGTTGATAACATAAATACAAAATAAAAATGAATGAAAGAGCCCTCTACCGTACAGAATGCAGGGTTCCTTCACGATGAAATACTCAATAGTGAATCATGCAATTGTTGGAGAGCTGTTGGCAAGTGTTTGAATAAAAGGCAAAAAAAAAAAAAAAGATTTAACGTGTGCAGTATTTTTCCTTCCCCTAATTTAAGGAAATATTTTCCCAATGCAAGAGCCTTTAAGGAAGAGAGCAACTTATGTAGCCATAAACTCATTTGATTCTTATTTTTCACTGCTGTACTTCTTGGATTTGTTTCTGGTAAATTATTTCTTGCCCCATGCCAGATGCTGTTTTCATTCACAATGAAGTAATAGTTCTTTGTTAGTGATATCACAGTATTATACCACAGTCCTTATTGTGACTTCTCAAATTTAGCGTACTGAAATACATTCTTTGTTGGTTGTTTGGGGGCTTTTAGATCTAGGGCTTGATTGAAGTCAGTCTGTAACAAAAAAGAAGGAACAGAGCCCAGAGATCTTGGACAGTACGCAATTAGCAGAAAAACATAGAAACAAAAGAAGAGCAAAAAGAAAAAGGTTGAATATTTGATATATCCTGTCTCTTCTTGCGTAGACAGAGGAAAAATATGAAATAATACTTGTGTGATTTGCTTTTGTTCAGGCTTTGATCTGGCGTAGGCATTTACCTGCTGACCCTGCCAATGGATCTATCGTTGTTCCAGTTGCAGGGGGATCAGCTGGTGGCATGGGTTGGGGTCTGCTCCTGTTCCCCACCACTCTGTGTGGTCTCCAGCCAGAGCTCTGGTGCTGCACCCATTTGCTAAAGCAAACGTATCCACATATGAATAATTTCTAGTTCATTAACTGAATCACAGGGTTGGGCTCTGCTATACATAGGCTAGAAACTTCGCTGTTCCCTTTTAGACATGTGATCTGGGGTTTCGTATCACGATGACACAGTTCCATCCTGGGCTGGTATAAGGCTTATTAAAACTGGTGTGTGTGTTTGTGCCAGTGTCCGTAGAAATGAATCCTTCTGAAGGATTACATAAAGGTGTCTTTTCCAGAAGACAGAACAAATACAAGGAAGCCAGTTTAGTTACTTAAGGCCTGGTCGTTCAAGGAGTGAGTGGAGCTCTCTGGATTTTCAAGGCAGGCTACAGCACTTCACACCCAGTGGGTCTGTGTCAGGCTGTAGGGGTGTGTCTGTATGTACACATGTATATGTACGTGTTTAAGCATACACTGATAGAAGGATATAATTGTGTTTTTTCCCCTTAAACATAAACTGGTTATTATGAAAGAATGTAAGATGGAAGACATTCCTTTTGAAACTGGTAAGTAAATATTAGTTTAAAATCTTTGCAAGATAAACACTTTTTTGGACAGCTCTTTGGTCTTTCTGCTCAATGAAGGAGCTGTTAAACAGGTCTGTTATCCAACTGTTTTTTCAGGATGAATGGAGAAGGTCTCATTAGTCTTTTTAACAGAAGAAGGGGAGATATTTGTAGTACCTGATGGAGTACTGATATATTTAAATGTGCTGATAAATGAGATTTTACAAAAGAGAAAATGTGGTCACATCTTGCCCTCATTGTATTCCACTTGAGACTGCACCGGGTTGTATGTTGAGGAAAAAATAAGCCAAAAGCAGTTTGGGGGAAACTATTAAAATGAAGATAAATGAAGATATCTGGCTGACCAGAAGAATCTGTATTCATGTAGCAAATGTTACATTACTCATACTGCAATGCTTTCTGAAGTATATTTTTATATCATCACTTTCCATTTTAAATTCAGGTTTTAAATCCCCGAAGGGAATTCACTACCAGCCATTTGCATTTTAAAGTGAAAACTCAAACCTCAATAGAGTGCTCTACTTAAGACTCCTTTTATATAACTTAGCCAATGAGCTACATCTTGGTGGAGGCCTTGGAGTCGACTGAAACAAGTCAGAAAAACTTGGAACACACCTCGTTTGGCTTTATATAATGCAGAATATGCAGGTATCTGTGCAAAGCTCTCCTGTGAAGTGCTGTTTTCATGAGTGTGGGATGGAATGCCTTTGGAGGCAAAGAAAGACCTTCAACCTTTGGCAAACCAGGATGGCTAGATAACAGGCTACTCCCTCTTTCAGTGTGGGAAGGGAAATCATAGTTAAAAAGAAGTAAAATACAGCGTGGCTTTTAGTTCAGCTCTTTACAAGACAGGGGAAACAACAGTAGGTAAGTTACAGAAGAAGCAAGATGGGTTTTCTTAAAACAAAGATCTCCTGGGGGCTGACTCATCTTCTGAGAAAATGTGATTCAGGAAAGAAATGAAGTGGGCTGTTCTCCCCCTCAGGCCATGGGTTTGCAGGTGGAAGCTGTAGACGGTTCACTCCTTCCCTTGGAGACATTGGGATTCATCTTCTGCTCACATGTCCCAGTTCCTTTAGCTGCGTCTTGCTTTATGTCTTCATTCCACTGAAGCAGACTTCAAATACATATATTTCTTCATTTCTTATTGCCAAGAGATCTGTGTTCTGACTTCTTCCTGCTGAAGGCGTTTAAAAGCTTTGAATGTACTGCTACTTCTTATCTTCTTGTGGTCTTCCAAAGAATTGCATGATTCAAAGGTTATAAACAAAAAAACAAAATGGTGCAGAGTATGAAGCCACTCTTTTAAATGAGTTTATAAATGAATAGTACTAGAGAGCACTGTCTTTATTTGGGGTGTTAAAGTATCTGGACCCACTTGTAGCACAGGGTCTGCAAGTGTGAATCCCTGTGCCTAGGAATTCCAAAATCCCACCATTTTTCCCATAAACTTGGTTGAAGATTAGGCTTTAAGTCAGAACAAGACCCTTCAGCTCCTTCCCAAAATGTGTTTTGGTGGCAGGAAGTGGGAGGCAGAGCTTCTACATCCTCTTTGCTGCTACCTCATGCTTATTGCCCTTGTCTCCAGGTTGCATGTTTCAAGAAACTAAAATATTCCTGTGTTGACATAAGAATGACTGGGTAGCTGGAAGCCATGAGGCTCCTAATGATGACTGCAACAGGAAATGTCTTAATATTTGTTTAAACAGAATGATGCAAACTGCAGCAATCCGTGATACCAACTGAGTCGGGGGGGGGGCTTTTTTGGTGGAGTCACTTCGCTCTTAAGCGCATTATGCTGCTGATAGAAAACGGTTACTAGAAATAAACCTTTGCGCCATCAGACATGAAATGTTCAATAGACATGAAATGTCTCCTCGGCTTCTCAAAATTCCTTGCTGTCTGTTCCTGTGTCGTGTTACTACTTAACACACCCTGTTGCTTGCAAACTGAGTAACTGTACAAACAAGTGATGGGGGAGAAATGAGGTGCCTTCAGTGTGCCACAAAAGAGCTTGTTAGCACAGGTTATTCCATGATGCCTGATGAAACACGCGCTGAATCAGACCTGATTGCAGAAGGAGGGGTAGATTTTGTTGTTGAATTGCACTTATCTTCAAAGCTGCTGCAGATGATTCTACATTTATTCAGCAGGAAAAAGTCCTGAATTTTTACATTCTATGTTGTTCATTGCTGTGCCATTTGTTAAGATGATTTGGCTTTTAATCCACCAATGAATACTGAATGAAGAATTCAATCGTGAATCAGATATCTTCTTTTGCTTGCCAGTAATACAAGCCATTTTTATTTTCAATTTCAGGTTTCTTTTATTGCACGGGACAAAAATAAATTATGAGAGAAAAAGTTAAAATTGTTCTTCTCAAGCAACTCTCTCGCATCAATGCTTAATCTTTCCATTATGCGTGATATCATTAATCATCCTACTGTAATATTTGACACACGTTTGTGGGACAAATTCAGATCTAATATAAAAGATGCAATAATACTGACTTATGTGGAACTGTAGCTAATTATAACATATTTGAATTTTCATCTTTCATGAAAGACCTCTATAAAATGAAGAACCTTTTACACTGCTGAAATGAGAGTCTGAATGAAACTGGCAAGCAGACAAGGGGAAGAATGAAATGTTGTCCAAGGACAATAGGAGAAATTTCAGCATCATAATGAGCCAATAACTGGAAAATATGCTCAGTTGTTAGTGGATTTTTTACTTGTCTTTTTCTTTAAATTCTCATATGGCTTCTCTGGCACAAATTGCACTGTTCAGCTTAGTCAAGTTGGAATTATTTGGTTGCCCATGATGTAGAATCATAGTTTTAGGTTGGAAAGACTTCAAGATCAAGTCCAACTATCAGTCTGACCTACTAAGTTTCATCACTAAACAAAGTCCCTTAGTGCCACATCCGCATGTCTCTTAAATACCTCCAGGGATGGGGGTTCCACCACTTTGCTGGGCAGCCTGTTGCAATGTTTGACCAATGCATTCCTACTGTTCTCAGAGACTGAATAACATCTCTTCTAGTCCACCTGCAAAGACAGGAATAAAGATAATGGGAAACCACGGCCATTGTGGTAAGATACTATGATGCAGAAAGGGGAGAATTTACAAAGTATTTTCCGCAATGCAGCCTCTCTTTCTTCCCTCCTCCTCTTGTGTTTTGAGTTCCATGTGTCAAGTCAAGTGTTTGTTGCAGCTCTTTGAAAACACATTAGACTTGAGATCTGGTGCTGTGTTAGGCACAGAACAGAGCAGTAGGAAAATGGCCATCAGGAGTTAAGGATTTATTGCATGAAGTTTAGGTGAAAGCCAAACTGATGGTACTGTTTTAGGCACGGAACCAGAGCAGTAGGAAAACGGCCATCAAGAGTTAAAGATTCATTGATGTAATAAAAGGTAGACTTTTCCTCCCTTCCCTGTCAAGCCATTTTAAAGATGTCATTGAGGAGAAACAGGCTCATTGTCTACCACTATTTACTGTATCATATCCTTTTTTGCATATTCCTCTGCTAGTTTTCCTCATGCCTGCAATTCCTCTTATTTTTTAAGGTACGACTGTTTGCAATGCATCTGTTCTTATTATTTTCATTCTTTCGTTCTTCTAAACTCCACTGTATTTCTGTAGAAATTAACTATCTTAAACTATCTGTGTCACCTTATCTTTCAAGGCCTAGAAGGTCTGTCTTTTTTTTTTTTTTTTTTTATCCCCTTTCTAGGGAATATCTTCATCCTCTGTGTGTACCTTATATTTTAACTCCATTCTTTTTCAGTGAACTTTCCTTCTTTGCATTGCTGCTGGACTTTGTGTCTTGTTTGCCACGAGTTGTCTTTTTCAGTCACAGATGGGAGACTGAGTTGCAAAACTGCAGGAACCCTACATTTCCACAAAGAATTTTTGCAGCCAAATATAGATGTCCAATACCAAAGTAGGTTGGCAACTTTCTGATGTTATTTACAGGTTTTGGAGAAGTGTTATTTCCCAAAGGCACTTACATAGCTGGATGTTGGATTGAATTTTAGTTTACTAATAAAAGTTGTGTATTGCCTTACGGTTCTCAAACAGCCTTGTTCACCAATGGAGGACTTGTCTTAAGCATGGTATGGCTCATGATGAGTTGTGGCAGTTAACTGTATATCATCCATGCAGGTTGTTTAATATATATTTCTGCCTTCAAGCACTCTTTATATTTCTTACTGCTGAATTGTAACTGAATTAGGAGTTCTTTCCACTGAAGCACACCATATGCTGTGGTTGTTTTCTAAATTGAGTTAGCATTTTACCTCCTAAAACCAAGGCTGGCTCGGCTCTACCTTCGCAACCTCTAACTTGCACGTATCTGTCATGTAGAGCTACTACGAGTGATATGATCTGCCATTTAAATCTTCAATCAAGTTTTTTAATTAAGAGCTGCATAACATTACTGTTCACAGCCTAGATCAACTTTATGCTTTAATTTGTGGAGTCTAAGAGACTGGTGAGAATATTCAAAGGTTTTCTCACTTTTGTGAACTCATTCTCTGGTACTGGCGTGATCTCAGCACATCTGCTGAAGCTGCTGCTCCGAGTGACTTTACTGGTATCAGACACGTTCCTCACTGACTTCTCTTCACCATTTTTAACAAGAGTTTATCATTGCCCTTTTAGGGCACGTTTTTTGCTCATAAATATGCTCGTTCCATTTACACAGTTGTGGTCTTGCCAGTAATAATGGAGAGGTGCTCACTTGAAACATTACTTACAGAATAAGCAGTACTGGAGGATTTTTCTCTCTAAGCCAGCCACGGCTGAGCACAAGATTCTCAGTGCATCTTTTCTATAGGTGTGCTGGGAAAAGGATGCTAAAAGCCCTGCAACCAAGCATATAAAATAAGGTTCTTGGAAGTAAATGAAAGCTGCTACCTACCTAACAGGGTTAGCAATTGAAAAGGCATTCTAGGGAATGCTGCAGCCTTGCAGCAGTTCAGTGGTACTGTTGTCAGAGGCAACAACAGATAACTACTAGTTCTAATCTGGAATTATCTACGCAGAAAATGTCGACATGCAGTGGTCATGGCTTCATGCTTCGTAGCATAACCTGCTGTTATGATGTTCACTAGTACTTATTTGAAAGCAACCACCACCAAAAGCTTGCGCGATCCCTGCTGAAAGTGCTTTTATTTTAGTTTTTAACTGCTGGAATTGCATTTGCGTTTTGCTGTGTAAACATGCTGTTAGGCAGCTCTGGACAACCATCTGCATGATGAGGGAGATTGCTCCGATCCCAGAACAGCCATCTCACAGCAGAGCCAAATGATACTCCGCGAGGCCGCTGGCTGTGAAGTCTGCTATGTATTTTTGCTACACAGTACAGGAACTCGTCTACAATGTATGGAAAGCTCCAGAAGTTATAACTACTGGGCTAAAAAGAAGTAAGAGGTTCTAGACAACATTAATTGTGTGAGTTATTTGAACTTCCATGGAACCTTTCACCTGAGGATCTTAAAGGGTTTTACTGACATTAATGAAACCTTCCTGTGCCTCGCTGCATATATATTAAATGCCATCTCCCCATTAATGCCAAGCAAAATGAAGTAGCCCTAAAATGACTTTTCCAGGGTTGCACAGCTTGGTGCAAAGTGGTTCTCTGGGATGTGACAGATCATTGGTAGGCTTTGGAAGGTAATTTTCAGCCATTACTGTAGTCTGACACTCCACCACCTTGCACTTCTCCTCCATGAAGGCTGCATAATAGCTGATGGATCATGGCAATGGTAAATCCACTCACCCTGTGATTGCTCCTTTCACTGTTATATGCCCTATGGCTCTAGTGACAGATCTATGCTCTGTTTCAATCTCCTTTTCTCCTTGCCCTCCAGCAGTCATGTAAATTCAGTTATATTCAGAGCCCCTAATGACCACGAAAGATAGAACAAGATCTCCTGGTTTAAAACTTTTCTGTGGAGGTCTGATTTCCACGTGAAGGGGAATCAATTAGTCTTAATGAGTTCAAATTAAATTTGTTGCATGTTTTTTAGGTAGTACACTGAGCGCTGATGGTCTTGCTTTTGAACCAGAATATGCTGTGTTCCAGCCCTGTGATAGGACTTCAGCTCTTACACATCGGTGTGTCTGCAGTGTAGTACTAGTAGGTGGATTTGTTACTAAAGGTGAGAAGTTAAGCTGAGTTCGTACCTCATGCTTATCTGTGAGACTTCCATATAAGTCACCAGATTCCAATGGCTTGTCAGGGAAAAATGAGGATAATGCTGTTCTAATCAAGATTGTCTCAGTAAAAAAAAATAAAATAAAAAATACTCTAAAGTGGATCAAGTATTTGGTATGTCTGTGTATGTGGATGCTGCTTTTTGTGTGTGTGTTAATAGCCATTGTTGTACAATAGTTTTATAGGTGGCCGAATAGCTTGAGATAAAAGACTTAAGTATATTCAAATTGGACCATTGTTCTGATTTCTCACGTGGGTAACACGTGGCAATTGAAATTCGGTCTCGTGAGGACCCTCATACTTTGTATGCCTCTGGGCTTAGACATTTGTGACTTATTTCTAGAGGTACTCAGAAACTATAGCCAATTGCTTCAGTTTCTGCTGTACTCCAAGAATCATGCCACTACATACTCTAACAATTAACAAGCCCTATTTTTTTGCAGTCTTTCTGACATCTGCAAAATACGCTAGATCACAGAGGTGTTGTGAGCATTAATATTCACCAAGCGCTATGTAAATACTAAGTATTAAAAGTGTATTAATTTATATAGCACTCTAAGTGCTGTGTAAATTAAACCAAGAATGAAAGCCTCTATCCAAAGATTTATAACTAGCTTGTACTTTTTGGCCTGGGGAGAAAGAAAAGTACCTTCTTTTACTTTTTTTTTTAGCTTAACTCCCAATATTCTTAGTTATTTACTGGTGTATTTATATTGCACAATAAAATATTTACATTAAAATGTATCAATTTTCAAAAAACTCTAACTCCATTTTCCAACTGAATTTGGCCATGTTGAAAATAAAATTATATACGCCAAAGGACTGCAATAAAAGAGATTTAAAGGCTTTCAAATACTATAAAAAAGAGACTATAATAAGTGACTAGTGGACCAGTCAGCTGTTTTAATTAAAACTGGGCCATGTATTGATCTATCGTCCAGATTTACCCCCATCTGCAACGTTTCAGCAATATTCCCTTCAACCATTTCAGAAAATAGCACTTGTGAGAGACACTAAAGAATACGGAAGTTGGGAATGTAAATGTTTTATAACTATGCGACATTTTGTACAGAGATCTTTCTTCCACGGTATCTAAGTGGCATATGTATTCTGATACAAAGAGTGAATCTACAGATTCTATAGAATATTCCTTTCCAGACATAATTATAATGGATTCCGTGATTGTTACTGCTTAAAGAATGCCAAGTCTAAAATGTATTGGGTTAGATCATTTTTTTTAAAGGTGTCATATTACCTAAACACTGCTCTTGCCTTTGAAACCAGTAGGAGCTTTAGTAGTTACATGTTGAAGGTGGGCATTTGTCCTCCGTGAATTGAGGTATGTTCCTGTTGTGGAAGCCAAAGAGCTACTGAAAAGGGACTGATAAATGCTTTGCACTGGAATGTAAAGGCTTCTGTATCAGCAGCTGTGCTTGGTATCTGTGGTTTGTTCCTGAAGGGCTTGATTCAGTTTGCTTAAATTTCTTTTTATAAGTAACGTGGTGAAATTCAAGCAGGCGATGCAAATGCGGTACGATGGGTTTTAAAGGCAGAAACATGTCCTTAAATTGTGGCACCAGCTGTGGCACAACATCTGCACCGAGAGGCACCGCTCACGCGCTCCAGTCGCTCAAAAGGAACAGGAGGCGAAGCCGCTTTGCAGCAAGTGGCGCAGGAGCAGCAGGTGATGTATCGCTGGGATAAGCACCTGTCATTATTAAAGTTTACCCAGGGCTTTATGGTGTGTACAGAAGCAGGCAGCAGCACGTGCGGTGGTGATCTCTGCAGGTAGCGCCAGCCTCTCGGGGTGTGGGCACGCGAGCGCCAGCTCCTGTTGGGGTGGCTGCTGGGATGGAGCCACCTCATAGCGCTGTCTTGGCTGTATTTTTATTAAAGAGTGGAAAAAAAGGGAAAAAAGATGTTAAGTGTCATTTTGTTATGGTGGAGAATGGAGGTGCCCAGTGTTGAGTGTGTTTGTGAGGGGACACAGAGGGACGCAGAGTTGGCTTTGTGAGCCCAGGCTCCCTGCTTTTGATTATTTTTTATTATTTTTAAACGAGGACGCCTCCCCATTGCCCTCGTGCTCCTCGCTGTGGCGCTGGGCAGGCACCATGAGGCCCGAGGCCGCCCGGCCGCGCCCCGCCGGCCCCACAGGGCGCCGCGCCGCCAGGGCCGCCTCGGGGCCTTCCGGCCGCCATTTTCCCCCCGGGCCCCACAGCAGCGCTCCCCCCGTGGGCGGAGCCCCCACCCGGCGCCTCCCCCTCCTATTGGCTGATCCCAGCGCGGCTCCGCCCCCTCCTCCCCCAAGCATATGGCCCATTCTCCGCCCCGCGCCCATTGGCCGGCGCTTCGGCGCCTCTCCCTGCGATAGGCCGGGCGGCGCGGCAGGGGCGGGGCTCGGCGGCAGGGGGCGGGGCCTGGCGAGGCGGGTCCCGCGGGGGGGGCGCGGCGGCCGCAGTAGCGCCGGGGCGGCGGCGGTGGCGGGCGGCGGCTGGCGGCGGCGATGGGCTCGGCGCGGCG